TAATTGTATGTTAATCTCAGGATTATTTCTGTTCCATCTGTCTACTTTGAGAGAAAAATCAGGAATTGAGTATGCTTCTGAAAGGATAGCATTTTTCTTTTCCTTGAGCTTTGTAGGTTTTTCTTAAAGCTTTATCAACTTACTAGAGTACAAACATACAAAGTAATGGTTTGTGGTATGCATTTTACATTTTATACTTAAAATGGACTAGACTTAGCTTTTGTAAATGCTCATTGATTTAGAATTTCTAATTCTACTTTACCTGGAATAAAAATTGGTTAATTTTTCTAGTACCACACACTAATAAGTAACTGAAAATGAAAATTAAACTCTACCATCTTTAAATATAATAGCAAGATATTTCAACATGAACTTTACTGTTTTAACCTAGTAAACTCAAAGCAAAACAAGATATTCTTATCTCTTATTCATTTATTATCTTGGGAAAATATTTAATAGTTTTACTTTTTCTAATCCTAGAACTAAAATTGAAGTTATGGGATCTTTAGGTTTTGTTTTGTTTTGATTTTTCACGCTGAAATATAAAATTTATGACTTAAAAGTGCTTTAAGATTTTAGGTAACGGATCTGATTTACTTCTAAGCAGGAAGTTAAAAAGCCTTTCAACATTTTATAGACTTTGTGAGAATTCCGTATGAACCTTGTCACTGAGCCTCTGTTCAAGGAATGAATACAAGGAAAACCAGCCTTGGTTAACAGAGAAATGCATTTACTTTTTGGAATCTTCCTCAGTGATTACAACTTTTTCTCTTTTATTATTTTAAGTTGTTAGTTGTAGTTTTTAAGCTGTAAACTATTGAATAATCTGAAAAGAAAGCATAACGTTGTACTACAGAAAATATAATTACTGTAGGCCTTTCACTGAGGCGATCTTGGGTTTGTTTATCTATTTGCCATTTTCCTTAGTTATGTTGTGACCTCTGAGAGCTTTAGTTTCTGTGTCTGTAAAATGGGCATTACGGCTACCTTTTAGAATTACTGAGAAGATTAAATGTGGTTATGTGAGACTGCCTAGAAATGTGCCTAGAACGTGGTAGGACTCAGTTTTATTCCATTACTTCCTATTTTAATCATTTTAAAAAATAACTCTTAGGAAAACAAATGTTCTGAGAAAATTAGTACAGAAAAATAATTACCAGTAAAATATTGCAGCACATTGAAGTACCTGACTAGGCCACCTTTTAAAGTACAGTTTTAACATCCAAATTCATTGTAATGGGGTTGATAACATGGAATTGGGTCTGTTCAGTGTTTGGCAAGTGCTAATTTCCATGACCTGTACAGCAGATTTTTGAGGGTAACAGCACTCAGTCAGAAAGTTAGACCTGCCCACTGTCACATGGCTGGGAAGCAGACAGAGCCAAAAATTGAACTTGTGCTGAAAGTTTATTTCTACAAGAGCTTCACAACGGAGCTTCAAGATAACCCTGGCCTTGAGGCAACAACATGAAATTAGCCTCAGTATAAAAAGAGACTTTGGGCATATTTAGTAAATAAATTGCCTTGGATTGGGTTCAAGGTGGATCTGTTATTCTGTAGGAAATGGAGTTATGATTAGATACCAAAAGGGCAATATTACTCCTTCAAATATACTTATATTGCATGTGTATATACACACACATTTGCTTGTGCCTTCAAAGTACACTATTAAACATTTAAATAAAGGAAGAAATCTTTCCCTATCATACTTATAAGCCAATTTAGAGGTCATTGAACAGATGTCATATAATACTAATGTTAAATTATCCTGTGTAATAAGAAAATTACAGTACCTAAGTGAAGATAGTAAAGGGAAATCATGCAATGAATTACTCTCAAATTTCAAATGAAATGATATCTTCAAAATTAGTGGTGGCACCACATGACTTTAGAAGAGTGAGTCTGATAGGTGGAAGGGAAATCAGAGACAAAAGTGAAGCTTTTCTGTGTTTTTATGTGCCAATTTTTGGTTACAATACTAGAAAAGCAAATGTAATAGTATAGCTTTCAGTTGTCCAGGAAGTATGTTGTTATTAAACTGTGTGGCAAGTTATTTATTAAAATCTGAATTAGCTTCTCATTGAATTGTTTAATATAAAATCACAATAATTGTTTCTAGCATACATATTCTGCCTTTTGTTATTAGGTATACTTTAAAAGCCTAATTATTTTGAGAACATAATATGACCAAAGAATAAAAATGTACAAAGTTTGACAACTTCAAATAATCACTAGCATTTCTTAAAGAATAAACCTCACTTACAGTTAGGAAACAATATTTATATTTAAGGTTGAAAAGCCAGGATGTAGGAAAATTTTGCTAATTTGGAAGATGACCTTTAAGTGCACCAAAACCAAATAATTTGTAGGCTATGACATAGGGCACATTCCTACAAAATTTGTGTGAATACAGCTTTAGTGGTTCTTGAAAGACAAACAAAGAAAGCTGGATTGAAATCTTTATTCCTTCCCAATAAGATGGAGCCCAACAAAGGAGTACAGCAGCACTCTTTCAAAGCCTGCCATTCAAACGAGGTCTCTGTAGCACAGTTAATGAGATGGTTCATAGTGGAAAACAATCTGTTTTTAAGAATGTTTAGATCAAAAGTAATTTCTAATCTATGAAATAAAGTCTCTTCAATACCCTTTATTCACCAGTAAAGCTTTTATGTGTGTATTATTTACTTCAATCAGATGTTTTCAATTTTACCTTTTTCCTTGTACAAATACTTGCCATGGTTCATCAATACTGACCAACAGTTTTATTCTTTTTCTTCAGAAAAGAGAGATTTTTGAGAGAGGGAGAATGAAAAAGAGAGAAACATCTTTGCCTAAACGATTTGCAAGCATCTGTGCTTTAAGCTACTTTTTATGAACACTCCTTAGTAAATGACTCAAGGTAAAAAAGCAGAAAAGCATCCAATGTTAGGAAATTGCAATCCAATACCATGTAATTTAAACCTGCAGTTGCTTCTCTTGTACTAAATGACATACAGATGGGTAGCTTAGTTCTCTCAACTTTGGGAACACAATTGGTCTTTTTGTATGAATGAACATATATTAACAAAAATATTTTGGGCAGAATTGTTTAATTCTAATTGCACAGATTTTAATTATCTATGCCATTGGAAAGAATAATTTTAACCAAGATATTTTATCCTGTTAAGTTTGCAGTGAATGAAGTTTTTTTTTGATAAAAGTAACAGAACCCTTCCAACAAATAAGTAATAAGTGAAAATGATAACTTTGAAGAAGTCTATGGGGAATAGAGCAGAAACTCACCTATTACAAACAACTGATTATTTAAGAAAGGGTGGTTTTGCATTTCAGCTGTTGAAAGGATAAACATTTCTTGGGGAAACATTTGTATCTGCCCCTTAGATGACAGTAAAATATAAATAGTAGATATGGGTAAAGTTTGGTATAATGTGGGGACCAGTGAAATGAGTGACCAACCTGCTGTATGTGTTCTGCTAGCTGTGCCTGTGGGTTTCTCCAGGCCAGGGAAGGGCCATGGTTCTTCATGGAAGGTCAACAGAGGTGCTCTTTCAGAGCCCACAAGTCCGCTCCAAGGCCTAGCTTTCTATTTGGCTCTGGTTTGCTCTTTTCCTGCCTCCGTAATTTCTTGTAGAGAATCAACCACTCCATCTTGGGGGCTCTGATTCTGGAAACTGATATCCTTTTTCAGTTCCACAATCAGAGTAACTGGTTAGTTATTTTTTTCCCCTGGTTTGATTTCAATGATCCCATATACTGTGACGTTAAGGACCTTGAAAAGTAAAAGAAGTAGAAAATCTTTCCACTCCTGAATCATATTTCTTTATATTTTAAAAGAATTTGAATTTAATATTCAGGAAACTAAGTATGCTTTCTTTAAGTAATGTCAAAATGTAGGACCTTTTGCAAGCTTCCTTTCCACTGTGATGGATGGCAAAGAAAAGCCATTTTGCTGCAGTGAATAATGACTGCCCTGTCCTGAAGTTATATTTCTTTTCAGTCATTTGTGCAGGTAAAATAAAATGGCACATATAAACAGGTGTTGTCTGAACATTTTACTGCAGTCTGTATAGGTTGAAATAAAAGCTGCCATTGTCATTAGAATCACATTAAAATTATTTCACCATCCCAATGCACTTAATCAGTGAAGTTTTCTTAGACTTTGCAAAAAGATAATGTAGGTCTCCAAACAAAGTCATATTTCCTTTTCTTTTTTCTTTATTTTTCTCCTTCCCTGTGTTTCTCACTCTTTCCTTGGAAGTTCTTGAATCTTCACTAGTGCAAATGCCTATCCTGTAGTTGATTGGAGATTTTTGTGCTGCTGTTTAACATAGTTAGGTACGGCCTTTCAAAAGACATTTATCTTTAAGAACTCTACAAACTGAGGGAAACATCCAATGGAATCACAGAGAGCAGCATTTCCTAGTTGTAGGAAAACATATCTTTAGGGTTCCAAGAAAAATAAATAGGATGTAGTTAAATCGTCTAAATGGAAATTGAATGATGGCTTCAAACTATTCTACCAAATTGCAGTATTTTTGAGTGAAGGGTTATGATATAACTTAATATGCCCATCATCTTCTATACATGGTATAAATGTTTGTAAATAAGCTTATGCTTTTATATCCATTTGGGAAAAAATGTTTTAGGGTACTGGAAGACAAAAAGTTTGTATCACCATCATGGGGACTGTTCAGTGAGTTTTTGGAAACACATGCAAGAAGCCTTGGCTATAGCACATTGCCACTGCTCCAGTGGAATCACCTGGATTTTAAGAAACATTCTTTTTGAACTTAGAGAAATAATCAGCTGCAGTTCAGGTAAGCTTTTCTAGTGCATTAGGGACTAGTCTGGTCATTGACAAGTGACTGCAGAAGCTGTGCTGTGGCGGCCAGCCAAAGCAATTATTTGGGATTCAAACTAAAAAGCCTCCTTCTCCCATATCCTCTTTCTTTCCAGGGTCATGTAGGGATAAAAAGAACTGTAAGGTGGTCTTTTCCCAGCAGGAACTGAGGAAGCGGCTAACACCCCTGCAGTACCATGTCACTCAGGAGAAAGGGACCGAAAGGTAAGGTGAGCTGTAATAAAAAGTCATTAAGTGAGAGCTAGTTTTCTTCATCCCTTCCCTTTGAATCCTCTTCTTTGCCAATTAATTTAAAGATTTCTAACTTAATGGCTGAACTCTACAAATTAATATCCCCCAAAATGGTATTGTTTAGGTTAAGACCAAGCTTTATTTGTTCTTTCCCCCATTTTATGAACACTATCTTATGTAAAGTTACAAGGCTTTTGGCAAGGGCCTGTTTTTAGTTTACTACAAAATGTGTGGAAGTAATAGCGATTTAGGTACATTTTTGGGGAAGACATCACAGTAAGCAAAACCATGAGGGACATGGAGCTATGCCAGGATGCTGAAATTTTGAAGGTGGCCATTGTAAGTATAGACGTTTTGGCTGCAAAAAGAAGGTAGCATAATTTAGTTCCTTTCTACCCCACTCCAATTTCTTTTTGAAGCACATGTGGAGAAAGTATTTATTGGCTCATTTGTGGTTGGAATGTCAAAAATTTTCAATAACTGCCCTCACATGGCTTTGGTCCTTGGAAGTTCGCCCTAAGTCTTGAAAAAAGAGTTTGTTCATTTCCAAGACTGTGTTTTAGTGAATAAAGTCTCTCAGCTGATTCCAGCTCAAAGGTAGCTTGCCAAGGTCCAACGATTTTGTTGTCTAATTTATACCGTGGAGCTTGGCATAAGGCTGTAACTTACCTCTGATCCAAATTTATTAATGATGTAACTTCTTGTTTTCATTCATGAACTGAAAGAGCTCTTTACCACACATGGGGTCCTTGTTAATGGGCGACACTCTCTTCCTGTCACTTTTTCTGCTGTCGACTGGATTTACCAAATGTTGACTCTCTGACAAAGTCCACTCTCACCAGCCAGTGAGTGAGCAGTGAACTTCAGTCTCAGCTCAGGAGGACTCTACCGTCCTGTTGTGTACATGACTAGCAAAATGATTTAATGCACACAAACAACCAGAGATTAGGTCATTCTTAAAAATTCTGTTTATAAAAAAATTGGACCTCATAAAGAGGGTGAAAGGATAATAAAAACAAGCTGCAGAGCACATAGACTTTTTGTTGGGCTAGCACAGCTGATTTGTATTAGCTGAATGACCTCCTAGCCTTTAAGATTGTTAACTTAGAAAAATATTCCCTTAAAGCTGCAATATTCCTTTTCAAACCAAAAAATAGGACTCCTTCCACTTGAAGTCTTGGACCCTTCTGCACTTTCTGGTACACTCTTGGATACTGTAGAGTAGCAGAAATCTTATGTAATAATGCTCTTTCTATGAATCTAAACAACAGGATTTTTTTAAGAAATAGGAATTTTTTTCCTCTAAGCATTACATAACTAGATGGCTTGATTTTTTTCTATTTAACCTGCACTATTTGGAGAAGTTTTATGCACATTTTATTATACAGATTTGAAATATATTAGTAATGTTCAGATTTCCATATGGTTGGTCTGTTCTCATTTTAGGACAAAAAAAAAAAACCTTGATAGATTTACTAGAGAAATATATTTAAAGAAAATATATTGTTTAAAAAAATGCTAACTTTATTTAATTTTCTTAATCTGTTTATTGTTTATCAGTGCCTTTGAAGGAGAATACACACATCACAAAGATCCTGGAATATATAAATGTGTTGTTTGTGGAACTCCATTGTTCAAGTAAGTATGTTGAAAACCTGTAGGTGTGGATATATCACAGATGGCAGCAAAATACTCATTGCGTGTTCATCTCAGAGTTTTTCCATTACTGAGTTTTCTTACCTCTGTCTTTTTTCGATTTCTGCTTATCATCCCCACCTCCCAATAGAAGTTACTATTGACTTTCATGGTTAATTACCAGTGTGACAGACTGGCTGATTTCTCACTGTTTGGATCTTAAAGTACCTGACATGAACTTGTTCATCTCAGTAACCATGGTGCTTAGCTATGAAAGAGATTGACAAGCATAAAGATGTTTATGTGTTTATTGATTTTCTATCTGCAGGTGATGAACCTGAATTTATTTATTGGCTCATTATGAAAGTTCTTCATATGCATCCTTCAGATCTAATAATATCCACCAAGTAGATTATTTGTACTTCTCCAGTGAAGGGAAATAGCTACATTGAAAGTACTATGGAAGGTATACAAGATACTTATGCATAGATAGAATAATTATGTACCATGGAGTTAACAGTTTTTGCATTACCTTAAAATCTTCATTTTAAAAATCGTGACAGTTTACTACACATAGAGTTTTTGACCAAAACAGTTAATTCAGATAGTCTGTTCTGGAGATTATAGATTTTATTCAAGAAAGAATAGTCTTTACCAAAATTTGTCTAGTTAGAAAAGATCCTGGAAGCCCTGTTCTACCCATGAGATTGTTGGTTTGGGGAAATAAAAAGACAGAAACCTTAATTGAGAGTAAATGTCATTTATCCAAAACAGAGTTACAAAGTTTCTTAGGGGAAATACATAAACAAAAATCTGATACTCGTAACATGTAAAACATACTTTATATCTCTCTATAAATGTTTCCATTTTAAAACACTAGCATTTACAGATTGTCCAAAAGTAACATGAAACAGTAGTTTTTTTGAAAATGTTTTTAAGAGCTTAAAACTTTTCTTAAATTGCAGAAACCTTATTGCACATTAGTGCTGGTTGAGAATCTGTTCTGACTTCTTATATATTCTTCATGTAAAAAAAACGACCCTTCAGATTGTCACCCTTTTCCTCTCAGAAAACACATAATTCAACACCTTTAGCTTTTGTCATAATAGTTAATATAACACTTGAGATGGTTACTGAGCCATGTTAAACTTGTTAATATCCCAAATGGTAAAAATTGGCCACATTGCCTTTTCCTTTTGTTTAAGATTCTCCATCTCTATATCCTTCTCATGTGATTCACTATAGTACAGGATCTAAGGGGAACTTACTGTTTTAAATAAGAAACAGAACCACTGTAAATGAAGGATTTAATCCATGTGAGATTTGAGTCACAAATCCTAAAAGCAAGACTCTTATCCAAACATAGGTATGGTGGGAGTCGGGTTTCACATTAGAAATGACACTGCCTCTATTTTCTCTAACAATCTTGTAGCTCTTTCAGCTTTGATTTTCAAAATTTTAAGGAATATGGTTTGATATATTTTATTCTACCTTTAAAAAATTGTTTGTTACTCCTTACTTGGTTTCTTGTCTACTTTGCTTAAAAAGAATCCCCTACTCTGTCCTCCATCAGAGAATGCAGCAGCTCAATGGCCCAGTGCAGCTGTCTTCCTATTGAGGAATGTATGCCCTGGATGTCCACAAAGGCTTCCCAGGGGGCCACAGTACATGGGCAGCGAATTGATTTTCTGATCCTTGACTTCTCTGTGTACGTTTTCCTGAAACTGATATGTCTGAAAGAGTCTGTGATCGACCACTTCTTCCTTTCCATCTTCTCTGTCATGATTGCCATTCTCCCACTTCATTAACAATGTCATACCTTTTACTCACTTCAAATCTTACTATGACTTAATGTCCCATGGCACAGTTGCCAGGGCATTATGCAAAAAGACAGTTAAGGAATGAATTATTTCTGAAGAAGAGGAAAGCGAGACAAAAAAGCTTTTGGTTAAAAACAAAAAATTGAGGATTGCGTTTTTGGCCTACTGGTTAAGCTTGGGATGCCTACATCCCATATTGGAGTTCTTGAGTTCAAGTCCTGGCTCTGCTCCCAGTTCCAACTTCTTACTGATGCATATTTTCTAAGTCAGCGGGTCATGGCTCAGGTGAAGTGCTGGATTGTGTTCCCAGCTCCAGACTTTGAGCTGGGCCAATTCCAGTTGCAGCAGGTGTTTGGAGAGCCAGCCAGTGAATGGGAGATCTCTGTCCATCTGTATCTCTGCTTTTCAAATAAGATACATTAATGGAAAGCATTTTAGTTGAATTGGTATTTTATCTTGGCAAGGCTTCTTGCACAGATCAGTCCACCTCCCTGTCTGTCTGCTTTTCTGTCTTTCCATCTGTTGCCCATCCATCCATTTTCTACCAGCCTACTTAAGTGAGAAAATTGCCATGAGAATGTGTATCAGTAAGTTTGTTTGAATGAAAATTTGAAAATCTTTTTATTTTTTGGCAGAAGGAATAATTATGATTTGGTTAATTGATTTGACATTGAGGACTGGCTTTGCAATTTACTTTACATGGTTGACTTCTCCATTCATTAATTTTTTTGTTCTAAATATGTGGCTCTAAAGTTTTGACAAAATATGGTTAAAACATATTGTATGTACAATATATGAAACACCAGGAAATTCAACTTTTGTAATTATTTAATTATCCGATAAGAAATTTTAGCTATTAATTTGAGAAAGTATGTATGGGTCAGCACCCAATCAGGATATAGAAGCTACACAGTGATTTGAACAGAAAAGTTTAATATAAAGAATTATGAAGTATAACAGAGGATGGTAATGAGGGATTGGCTAGTAAGAAGTAAAGAGAAATTCTAATACAGGAATTGCAGGTATAAGCAATCCTGATTTCTAGTACTGAGCGAGAGAGAGAGAGAGAGAGAGAGAGAACAACAACAAAAAAGCCTCTCTCTACTCTCCACATTCCTTCCCCTGAGGCGGAGATTTAGTCCTTGTTGGAGAAGGCATGGCTGTAGCTAGCAGCTAGCAGATGGCAGGGGAGTTACTATGGTATCCTGATAGTCCAAGTTGCTGAAATGTAGTGTCTGGAACTTCCTGGAAATCTGCACTCTAGGGTATGGGGAAAGGACAATGTCTAGTTCCTGCACTACAAAACCACCTGTGATGAGTGCCAGGGAATGCTGCTGGCCACTTGCTGATGCTGATGGTTGCATGTTGAAAGCAGCACCTGACTGTGTGGGATCCTAGCTCTGGAGAATTTGCTCATGCTGCAGCAGCTTGGTAGTTGGTAGCAAGTGCATGCTAACAGAGCTGGGTGCAGGAGAAACTACTTGTTCTGCAGAAGTCAAGGGCTAGAAAAACTGAGTACACTTATGGAGCTGGGTGCAAGAGAAGCTGTGCACACTGCAAGAGCCTGAAGGTGGAGAAACTGTGCTGTGAGAAGCTGCATGCGTTGGGGGGAGCCTGTGGAGCAAGCATACTGAGACAAGGAGAGACCTTTTTCTCCTGCAGTCTCCCTCCCATGCCTTCTAATGGCAAAGTTTAACATGCTGACCAACAATGAAAAAAAAAATACTGAAAGGGCCCAGATCTATTTTAGCAAAGCAGGTTAAGAATATGGTTTTATAGACAAAAGGCAACAAATTGATAACTAACACAAAGCCTGTTTTTAATTTTTTTTTCAAAGTTCTATTAGTGGTTCATGGGTGTAAGTTTGAAAACCACTCAGTAGTGAATTAATAATATCTGTATCAGGACCCCCAAGATAGTTTGTTTCTCAGTTTGAATATAAAGTATATATGTTTGTGTGCTTGTGTGTGTGCATATACCGGGTTCTGTTTGTTAGGGAGAAGTAAGAGAAGAAAATTACTGAGTAGAAGAATTGCATGATAAGTAACAGTGGGATGGAAACAAGAAAAAAAAAAGTTGTTGAATTTGCAAATCATTAGAGGGGCCTGTGTTGTGGCCCAGCAGGTTGTGCAGCGTGCAATATTGACCCTGGCATCCCATATGAGTGCTGGTTCAAGTCCTGCTTGCTCTGCTTCCCATGCTGCTCACTGCTCATGTGCCTGGAAAAGCAGCAGAGGATGGCCTGAGTATGGGGACCCCTAACACCCATGTAGGAGACTAGGGTGAACTTCCAGGTGCCTGGCTTCAGCCTGGCCCAGCCCAGGCCATTGCAGCCATTTGAAGAGTGAACCAGAAGATGTAATCTCTCTCTCTCTATTCCTCTCTCTCGGTAACTCTACCTTTCAAACAAATAAATCTTCAAAAAAATTAAAATGAAAACAAAGCTGACTTTTTTTAAAAAGTTCATAAGAAAGGCGAAGTTGTTTTCCCAACTTCCATTTCTCTTTCTTTACAGTACATACTTATAGTATGTGTACACTCTCTGTATGCTTATTGTATGTGTATACTGTGCATTTGTGCATGCACATATATATGTAATCCTCTTCATTTACTTGACTGATGTGTGTGTATTATACTTCTTTACAAAAAAGACCATTCAATTATTCTCATTGCATTTTCAAGCTTGTACTCTAAATACATTCCCTCTTTGAACACTATGCTGCTTTCTTACTTCTTGCCAAATACAAGAACCTTATTCACAGCCGTCTTACAAACCAAATGTGTAATTTATTCCATGGTTCATGTTTTCTTCACATTCACAAATTTAACCAAGCTAGATTTTTTCTCATATAGCACTATTGACTTTCAGTTAGTAAATTAACTGACAGAAGCAAGAATGTTCTCTCCTCTGGTTATTTGGTCATTTAAAATTTCATAAAGTGAATTTATTGCATATCAGATAAACCAGAGAAGGCACTGGTGAAATAATTTAATTCAGAATGTACTTTTGATCACTTACATTTTGCTTTAGCTGACACTTTGCCAGGTGTTATGGAACAAATAAGTTTATGAAATATTTTTTCTTCATAGTACTCAGGATTTTGTTGGCATAACAAGGGAAATATAGGAAACAATTACAAAAGACAGAAAAATGTTAGCATCTGTTTTCCTATGTCTGTTGAAATGCTGTTATGTATAATAGGAAGATATTTGATTTCTTCATGTTGGGCAAGATTTTATGAAGGAGACAAAATCAAACTTTACTAGGCAGCGAGAATGGTTCAGGTTTTCCCAGGTGGGTGGTGCCTAATAGAGAATGCCATTTGCAAAGAAGAATTACAGATAAGGTCAGAAGTGGATTTTTCAAAGAAATATGAGTTTGATCCAATAGGAGTGGAGAGGTAGGGTATGTAGGGGGATATTGGGGAATATGACTAAGGCATTATAGGGGACTAATTATGGAGGTCCTTGAATATGAGAGAGGACATTTAAATTCCTATTTGAAATGTTTTAAGTCTCTGGAATCTTTTCCTCTGGGAAGTCCTATCTGACCTTCCCTAGTGAACTTCGGTGTCTCTCCTTGCTGTCACTTTGTTATCATTCCCACCATTTCAATTTCTACCTTATTTTGAATTACCTGTTTATGTGCCTGTCTGCCCTCTGGTAAGTGAATTTCAAAATTGCAAGGCCATGCCTAAGTTATTTTTATATCTCTATCTGTTAACCTAAAATAATTACCACATATTTATTTGCTTATCACATACAGTCTGAACTTTGTTGGATAGATTGTGGAGAATTTTTGAATAAAATAATAGCTATATACAAGTAGATTTCTGGGAGTGAAAGAGAAAGAAATGGTTGTGTGACAGCCTCAGTGGGAACTCTTCCTTGTTAGCTGATAAATCTAAATGTTATTCATGTATAGTCAGCTCCTGATAATTTTGTTTGAAACTTCGGAGAACCATATAGGATATTTTATATTCAGCACGCCTTCTGCTGGATAGCTCATTTTATATAGATTTACTAATGATAATAATAGTAATAATACTAAAATAATAACTAACATTTATATAGCACTTATGATATGTCAGGGATGATTTTAAGTCTTTTATACAAGGGATCCTCAGAAAGTTCATAAGAAAATTATTCATGGGTTTCAAATTTTTTTGTACAAGAATAAAATTATCCTTTTTTTTAAAAAAAGATTTATTTATTTATTTGAAAGTCAGAGTTACATTGAGAGAAGGAGAGGGAGGGAGGGAGGGGGAGAGAGAGAGAAAAAGAGAAAGAGGTGAGCGGTTCACTCCCCAGTTGGCCGGAGCTGCACCAATCCGAAGCCAGGAGCCAGGAGCTTCTTCCGGGTCTCCAATGCAGGTGTAGGGGCCCAAGGACTTGGGACATCTTCAGCATTTTCCCAGGCCATAGCAGAGAGCTGATTCAAAAATGGAGCAGCTGGGACTTGAACCGGCACCCATAACTGCTACGCTGCAGTGCCAGCCCCAAGTAAAATTATCCTTTAATTCCATTTTCTTTAACTTTTAAAGCAATTAATGAGTTAATTAATTAATTTGATAAACAGAGTTCCCGTCCACTGGTTCACTTCCCAAATGCTCTCATTGGTGGAGCTTAGCCAAGGCTGAAACTGTGAGCCAGAAACTCATTACAGGTCTCCCAGATAGGTGATGGGGACCTGAGTACTCGAGCCATCACTTGCTGCCTCCTAGGGTGAGCATTAAGAGGAAGCTGGGATCAGAGATGGAGCTAGGATTTGAATCCTGGTACTTCAATGTTGGATTCAGTGTTCCAATTAGCATCTTAACAGCTAGACCAATCCCCTGCCCCCTCCATGAACTTTCTGAGGTATCTTCTATGTATGTACTCATTTAATCTTTGCAGTAATACATTTTGCAAAAAAAGAGAGGAGAAATAACTTGTGAAGAACACACAGCTAATATACAAATAGATTTGGAGAAGTAACACTCACAATTTTAAAAAAGAAGAATTATAGTAGACCAAAGTTTTAATATATAATTTATTTGGCCCTCGAGCCTGGTTAGTTTGCTTAGTTACAATTGAACAAATGGAATGCACACACATGTGCATATACACACACATCTCAGTTCTTTGAAAAAAATCTGTCACAGTACTAAAGTACTTAGGTTAAACATTAAAGACAACTTCATTCTAAGAGGGGCTGAACCAGAAGTAACTGGATTCATCATGGCAAATCAAGGAAGACTCATCTTAGGCTGGTGGTTAACCTGAGGGCAGTCCCTTGATCCTGGCAAGATGTAGCCAATGTTTGGAAAGCTCTCTGGCCATTCAGTATCTGGAAGATAGTACAGCAGCTAGATTTTTGGGCAGATGTGTAGTAATTGAAACTGGGAAGTCCTTTGCTTTTCACTTACTGATTTACCAACACATTTTCTAAAGTAGCTGTATTCCAAATTTTCACTAATAACTTCTGAGAAGAGTGAAGCCAACCGATGTGAACCATACTAAATATCCTTCCTTCTGTTTGGAAATTTCTTTGTACTTTCATCAAACAATCAGAACAGGCAATGGCTAAAAGCAACTGGTGGAACCTGCTGAATATATGCCCAGATGTGTAACCTCAAATTCATCATCTGTAAAATGGAAAATAAAACCAAACAGGTGGAAAAACTAAATGTGGAAAAATGTCTAGTGTATGCTAAGTATTCGACAAATGTTAAATTCAAGTGGCCTGAGCAAGTTTTGGGAACATACACTATCACTACAGCCTAAAATGCCCTTCCACTGTGAGAAAGTTCAGGCTGTATTAGAGAGAGTCTGTCTGTTAACAGTAGATGTTAGTGTGATGAGTCACCACTCCAGCTGGGTTGCTGCTTTTCTGATGGAGCCCTGCTGCACAGCTATTCACACATGCTACATTTCACATGAGCCTCCGGTGCAATTTTATTCTAGGCTACCAGAAAATTTCAGCCGTTTTTCAGCTCTTTAATAACATAAGCCCTTTCACTGAGGAAATTCCATCTAATGCCACACTCAATTTGCTCAGCTATGCTACTCCATGTAAGCTGTCCCACTCACTAAAGGTGACGTTCACTATGAACTTTTCCCCCTCGGATAGGCTTTGTGTGTGTGTGTGTGTTTTTGTGGGAAGATATAGAGCAAGGTGAAAAGATGGTTTTCCGTTCTTCCCCCTATACAAATCCCATTGCCTTAACCCTTTTAAATGCTATCCATATATTATTTACTGATAAACTCTTTTAGTCACTATGGAATTCTTCTGTTAGGGAGAGTAACATAAACTAACTTCATGCTTTGTTTTTATGCAAATATGAAAATTGCTTAAAATTCCAACAAATGTTTCTTGACCTTTAACAGAGTGCACTTAATTCGAATTTCAGAATTTTGAATTGCCCTTCACTGGTCTAATTCAAAATGTTTAAATAAATAAATTAACTCTGTTAAAGAAAGAAGCTTTCCAGTATAATGAAACTGTTATGAAATAAATTGAATTTCTGAGTGGTAACTTACTCAAACTTTTGTTATGTCTAGATAAATCATATATTATTCTGAAGAGAATATTAGATTGACTTTGCTCATACCATTCACCCTTCTTACTTTTTCGCTACATACAGTGATTTACAGGAAATGTAACACAGGGTGTTACTGTTTTGTCTTCATCTTATCTGAAAACTCTGGGCAAGACCACAGCTGGATTGGGAAAAAAAGCACTTCCTTGAGCTGCTAGCAAAAGATGGGGAGCAAAAATCCCTGTTGGCAAAAGATAGGGAGCAAAAAGCCCTGTTGATGCATGACCTATTAAACCAGTGGGGGAAAAAAGAAAGAAAATACATCATAAAAGCATAGCATAGGGGCCAGCACTATGGAGTAGTAGGTAAAGCTGCAGCCTGTAGTTCTGCTTTCTCATATGGGTGCCGGTTCAAGAGCTGGCTGCTCCTCTTCTGATCCAGCTCCCTGCTATGGCCTGGGAAAGCAGTAGAAGATAGCCCAAGACCTTGGGCCCCTGCACCTGTGTGGGAGACCGGAAGAAGCTCCTGGCTCCTGGCTTCGGATCAGCACAGCTCCAGCCATTGCGGCCAGTTGGGGAGTGAACCAGCAGATGGAAGACCTCTTTCTCTCTCTCTCGGCCTCTGCCTCTCTATAACTCTGCCTCTCAAATAAATAAATAAATCTTAAAAAAAAAAAAAAAGCATAGCATGGTAAAAGGTAAGAACAGCTTCATTTGAGAAACTGGAAAATATAGCAAAGTATAATTGAAAGACTACATTTGTCTAAAACTGTATGCACATATGTAATAGAATACAAACCATATCTGCACAAAAAATTTCTGGATATCTGAAGATCTGTAAGGGTATATTTCTCTCTCTCATATATATATATATATATATATATATATATATATATGGGTATATATGATTGAGGGAGATAAAAGTAGAGGAAGAGCAATCTTGCCTTGTATTGCCTAACTCATAGTCTTATTTTCTTAATTTTCCAAATGTAGAGAGAAATGGATTAGATTTTCCTCAATGAATTAGAATGGGTTGTTAGAATAATCTGGGATACATGGTAGGCTAAGGCTTTCACTGTATTTCAATTAAATTAATTTTGCTTGAGAAAACATGAAACAAAATTAGTATAATTTATATTTATTATTCTAGTTCACAGAATTAAATATTACTTAAAGGTAATTTATAAAAAATAGTGTATGAATTTTAATAAATACTTAGGAGGTAATCCACAAAGCTAAAACACATTATTTGAAGCATTTAGAACCCATGATAAAATATATTTCAATCATTCAATAGAAACAAACTATTGTGGATGCGATGGATCATTGGATGAAATAATACATTATGAAACATGTAGTAAGGCTGAAATCAAAAGCAAATTGTACTGTAATCCACTCATTTTTTTTTCCCTAAGAGTTGCTGTTCTTATAAATGAGGAACTTTGAGGTGTTTTTTTTTTTGCAAATTGGTTGATGAGAATTGCATAAATTTTAACCCAGATATTTTATCCTAGATATGTCTTATACATGGATTGACCACTCATCACATAACATTGACAAAGAAAGGTGCAGAAGCCATTTGGAGCATCAGTTGGAAAATAAGTGTTACAAAGTTCCAGCACAAATTTACTGCATATCCATTAGCAAATTATTTAAGTATTTTGACTCATTTTTCTCATTTATAAAATGGTGAAAATAACAACTCCTTTTAAATCATAGCTTTATTGCATCAAAGGAAAGAATTGCAGAAATATGCTATTAAAGATCTAAAGATTCAGTGTGGAGTTTGTAAACACAGCAGCTTTAAATTTTTGGGGGTAAACTATGAGCAGCATGTAAATCTAATTTTTTAAAAAAATCTCAGTACAATTTTCTTTTGATTTCAGCCTTACTACATGTTTCGTAGTGTATCATTTCATCCGATGATCCATCTCATCCTCAATAGTTTGTTTCTATTGAATGATTGCAAGATATTTTATCATGGGTAACTGAGTTTTAATGTCTTAGTCTTTTGTGAATCTCTCCCAGCAAAGCTATAAACTTCTTGAGAAGATAGGCCATAATCTTAATTGCTTAACTATTTCTTACATAATCTAGTTATTATTTAAGAATATGAGCAAAATTCAGGGTTGGGCATTGTGGCACAGTTAAGCCACTGCTTGTGATGCCTGCATCCCATTCTGTATTGCAGAGCTGATTTGAGTCCTAGCTGCTTTTTAAAAAAGATTTATTTATTTATTTGGAAGACAGAGTTACAGGGAGGGAGAGGCAGGGGCAAGAGAGAGAGAGAGCGAGCAAGCGAGCGAGCGAGCTTCCTTCTGCTGGTTCACTCCCCAGATGGCTGCAACAGCCATGACTGAGGCTGAAGCCAGGATCCAGGAGCTTCATCTGGGTCTCCCATGTGGATATAGGGGCACAAGTACTTGACATATCATCTGCTGCCTTTCACAGGTATATTAGCAGGGAGCTGGATCAGAGGTGGAGCAGCGAGGACTTGAACGGGCACCTATAAGGGATGCCAGCACAGCAGGTTGCAGCTTTACCCACTAGGCCGCAACACTGGCCCCTGCTCCGCTTCTGATTCCTCTTTCTGTGAATGCATTCTGGAAGACAACAGATGACTGCTCAAGAGCTTGGACCCGTGTACCCACATGGGAGAACTGAGTGGAGTTCTGGCTGCCTGGCTTTGGGCTGGTCCAGCCCTGGCCACTGCAGCCATTTGGGAAGTGAACCAGCAGATGGAAGATTGTCTCTCTCTCTCTCTTTCCCTCCCTTGCCTCCTCTCTCATGCATATTTTCTGTTGCTTTGCCCTTCAACTACATGAAATAAATAATTTTTAAAAGAATTAGGGGCCTCCGCAGTGATGTAGTGGGTAAAAGCCGCAGCCTGCAGTGCCGGCATCCCATATGGACGCCAGTTCTAGTCCTGGCTGCTCCACTTCTGATCCAGCTCTGTGCTATGGCCTGTGAAAGCAGTAGAGGACAGCCCAAGTCCTTGGGCCCCTGAACCTGTGTGGGAGACCTGGAAGAAGCTCCTGGCTCCTAGCTTTGGATCAACGCAGCGCAAGCAATTACAACCAATTGGGGAGTGAACCAGCGGAATGGAAGATCTCTCTCTCGCTCTGCCTCTCCTTCTCTCTCTGTGTAACTCTTTCAAATAAATAAATAAATGATTTTTTAAAAAAAGAATAAGAGAAAAATGACTCAAATTGATACCAGCATGGTGGAAGTAAAAATAGATACCTAGTTACAGATACCCTACTTCATTTTCCAAATTTTTTTGTAAACCATTCATAGAACTTACTTTCAATGTAAACACTTTTCAACAATAGCATTACTTACAACTGCAAAGATACAGCTGTCCCGACTAAGGGAGAGAGAACAATGTCTATGGCTGGGACATTTTACAAAAAAAACTCAATAGTGCAAAGAGTGACAAAAAAATAGTGTCAGCTGCCCAAACCTATATTAAAAGAAAATTACATAGTTGGACATTTTTATTATTAAATATCAGAATAAAAAGATTAAAAATAACTGGAGTAAATATGCAACTCAAAATGCTAGAAAAATAATTTCAAGAAACTCAGTAAAACAAATGGATAAAATTATTTAACATTTTCCATCGAGGCATTTGCCAGTTCTCGGCATGGAAAGAGAGGTAAAGGCTGCAGACTTCCCAAAGACTTACTACTAAGAAGCAGAAGAGATAGCAGCAGACACAAGCCTCAATACTGTTGATGTTGTAGATTGGATAATTCTTTGTTGTAGGTAGCTGTTTAATAAATATATGTGGTAGCACCCCTGGCCCCAGTAGCAACTTGCCCCTACTCTCAAGTTGTGACAAAAAAAACGTTTCTCCAGACATCATCAAATATCCTCTGATGGGCAAAATCACCTGCAGTTGTGAGCACTTGATCAGTGTTATTGCTTTCCTCCTTTTTTAAAAAAATATTTATTTATTTATTTATTGACAGGCAGAGTTAGTGAGAAAGAGAGAGAGAGAGAGAGAGAGAAAGGTCTTCCTACTGTTGGTTCACCCCCAAAATGGCCGCTACAGCCAGTGCGCTGTGCTGATCCAAAGCCAGGAGCCAGGTGCTTCTCCTGCTCTCCCATGCGGGTGCAGGGCCCAAGCACTTGGGCCATCCTCCACTGCCTTCCTGGGCCACAGCAGAGAGCTGGCCTGGAAGAGGAGCAACCGGGACAGAATCTGGCACCCTGACCGGGACTAAAACCCGGGGTGCTGGTGCCATAGGTGGAGGATTAGCCTAGTGAGCCGTGGCGCTGGCCTAAATTATATATCTATTTGAAAGAGCTACAGAGAGGTAGAGGCAGAGAGAAAGATCTTCCATCTTCTGGTTCATTTCCTAAATGACCACAACAGCCAAAGCTGGGCCCATCTGAAGCCAGGAGCTTTTTCCAGGTCTCCCAGATGTGTTCAGGGAACCAAGTACTTGGGCCATCTTCCACTGCTTTCTTAGAGCTGGAGCTGAAGCGGAGCAGTTGGGACTTGAGCTGGTGTCCATACGGGATGCCAGCACTGCAGGCGGCAGCTTCACTTGCTGTCACAGTGCCGGCCCATTACTTTCCTTCTAATAATTTGGGTTTGTGTATTCTTGCTTTTCTAGTTCTTCAGCTTCATTGTTAGGCTCTTTGAAATCATTGTCTCTCTCTTTTAATTTTGATATAGGTGCTTATTACTATAAAATTTCTTCTTGGTACTTATGCCGTAGGTTTTGATATGTTGTATTTCCATTTTCATTTATTTCAAAATTTAAAAAATTTTCCTTTTGATATATTCATTGATTCCTTTATTACTCAGGTGTACATTGTTTAATTTCTGTTTACTTGTATAATTTTTGAAGTTCCTCTTGCTGATTTCTAGTTTTATTTCATTGTAGTCAAAGAAGATACATTATTTTATTTTAAGTTTTTTGAACTTGTTGACACTTGTGTCCTCACATATGGGCCAACCTGGAGTTGTCCCATGTGCTCAGAATAAGACTCTTCTGCATTGGTTGCATACAATGATCTGTAAAAGTCTCTTACATTGTTTTTTCTTTTAAGTATAATTTGCTTATTTATAAGTTTACATAATTTAGTTTTAATAATGGCTATGTTTAGTAGCTAACTTAAAAATTTCCTAAAATATTAACAAGAGATCCTTCATTACATATGATTGCAATGAAGGTAAACCAAGTATAGACAAAACTTTAAAACATCCACAGCCCAGACTCAAATCACCTTAGTCCCTGATTGTGTGAAGAAGGTTTTCTGTCTTCCTCCCTTTGTTAGCTGCCTGTCAGAGGACAGGATGAGTCCTGTCTGGAAGAAGATTACATCAAGAGCACAATTTTTCATAGACAATGTCTGACTTTCTAAAAAATTGCCAAACATACTAAAGTGAAGGATTAAGGGAAATAAATTGAAAGGAGAAACAGATCTATCTATAGATGGTCTAGATATTCAGGTATGTAATTTATCAGAAAGACTTTAAAAATAACTTATAGGAAGATCTAATGAAATAGATAACTAGATGAGGAATTTCACCAGAGAACTGGAATCTGTTGTAAGTAATAAAATAGATTTGGAACAAAAAATTGCTCTAACTGACATTATAAACACAAGAGGTGCCTTTTGACAGTGTGTTGGGCACAGAAGAGGTAGGATTGTGAACAGGAATCCAGGTCAGTAAGAAATATCAAACTGAAGCTCGGAGAGCTTAGGAGAAAAAAAGGAAAGAGAGCATATAGGAAAAATAATACAAAAATATGTTTTATAGTTTTAGGTGAAACATGTTTTTAGAGCCACAGAAAAGAAGAAAAGGGTGATGAAAAGAAGCAATATTTGAAGAGATAATAGCCAATAATTTCCCTAAACAGAAAAAACAACAAATTAATAAAGTGTTAGAATTCTGAAATAGGATAAATAAAAAGGAAATCATATTTAAGCATACTGTAGCAGAATTTTTGAAAATAAAATGCAAGGAGAAAATCTTAAAAACACCTTATAAATTATCTTTTAAAATAAAAAAGTAGAATTGTTATATAAATTCTAGAGGTCAATCCTAAAAACGACCAATAAAGTTGGCCATGTCCATCTAGTCTAATCATGAAGGAGAAAAAAGAACATAAAATTCAAATCACTAGGAATGAGAATAGGGCAATCCAAAGGTATAGAAGAAATTACTTTAATGTAAGAGAATATTATGTTTAACCCTATTCTAATAAGTTATAAATCTCAGTGAAATGGAAAGTTTTCTGAAAATAAAATAAAATATAAAACTTGACTCAAGAAGAGTTAGAAGACCTGAATATCAGGATCAATAACTCCAGAAGAAATTGATTTTTCACAAAAATCATTATGTGCTACTACAAACTATGTTATTTTAAAATTCATGAAAGTTTATAATCTTTCTTGGCAAATGTAAAATGCCCCTAAAACCAAGACTTGACAAGATATTGAAACTGTAGACTAATCTGATTTATGAAAGTTGATTGAAAGATCCTAAATGAAATAATTAGTAAAAGGAATATAGTATTATGTTGAATGAACAGCATATCATGAAAACGTAAATATTGTATCAAGGATGTATAATTAATTCAGTTATCAAACATCTTAGGAGAAATGTGATATTTTTAATTTATGCCCAGAAAAGACTTAATAAATTTTAAAATGTACTCTTTAGTTTGAAAAGATTCTTAATAAGTAAAAATAATACTGTGTTTCATCAAATCTTAGAAATGATTTTAAGGACATAGAGGAAAATACCAATGTGTTTTTTCATATCCTTTCTCACCATTTAATACAACATGACAGTACAACACTTTTGACATCAAATGTTAAGGATATAGAAAAAAAAAACACAAATCAAGGTGCATTTTCCTGTTCTCATACACTCAATATGATACAGAAAACAGAATGCTTCTTTGATTAGATTTGTGTGAGGTTTTCCTCACACTCTAAACAAGTGTTTCTTCAGTGTACACCAGATGAATGTCCTCTAACTTAATTAAATTCTGTCACTACCTTGTGGAGATTGCATCAGACTCCCTAGGTTGAGGCTCGGTCCTGCAAGACTGTCTCCTACTTCATATGCCAGTTGAAAGCACCAAGAGGTTTTACCTGTGTTTTTGATGGATCTGCTAGGCATTAAGGTTTCCACAGCTCTCCTTGGATATGATTAATTCACTAGAGCCACTCATAGATCTCAGGAAAATACTTATATTTATTGGTTTATAATAAAAGACATTACAGAGGCTAGAAGAGGTGAACAGTCATATGTAAGAGATGCACAGGACAAGGAATGTGGGCAGGGAAGGGAGCCTCCATGTCCTCTCCAGGAATACAGCCCTCCTGGCAACTGCATATGTTCAAAACTAAATGTCTTTTTGGGTTTTTATAGAAGCTTCAATATGTAGGAATGATTGATATCACTGGCCATTGGTGATCTACTTAACCTTCAGCCCTTGTCCCTTCCAGAGTTTGGGAGGTGGTACTTAAATCCCAACTCTCTGGTCTGGCGCTGTGGAATAACGGGTAAAACTACCACCTGCAGTGCCCTTATCTCATGTGGGCACTGGTTTGATCCTGGCTGCTCCACTTCCTATCCAGCTCTCTGTAATGGCCTGGGAAAGCAGTAGAAGATGGTCCAAGTCCTTGGACCCCTGTACCCACGTGGAGACCTAGAAGAAGCTCCTGGCCCCTAGCTTTGGATTGGCCCAGCCCATACACCTTCTCTCTCTCTCTCTCTCTCTCTCTCTCTTTCTCTCTCTCTCTTTCTTTCTTTCTCTCTCTTTCTCTCTGCCTCTGCCTCTTTGTACCTGCCTTTCAAATAAATAAGTAAACCTTAAAAAAAAAAAAAATTCCAACCCTGTAATCATGCCTTGATTTCTCTTGGATCAGACCCAATCCTGAAAATGCCCTAAAACTGGTGGCCACCTGTCATTTCCAGGGCATACAAAAGACAGTCATGGCTCCAGAGATTCCAAAGACATTTAGGAACTATGTCATGAACCAGGGAGGAAAGTGAAATAAGTATTTGACAATATCATAGCTTTAATTGGCAGATTTATAAATATTGTGTATAACATCAGAAAAATAACTTCAGAGTAAGTGAAATACTATTTGGTAATCATAAGACACAAAAAGATTTCAGAGAGATTAGCATGTTAAAAATAAAGAGTACTTGGCCGGTGCCATGGCTCAATAGGCTAATCCTCCACCTGTGGTGCCGGCACACCGAGTACTAGTCCCAGTTGGGGTGCTGGATTCTATCCTGGTTACTCCTCTTCCAGGCCAGCTCTCTGCTGTGGCCCGGGAAGGCAGTGGAGGATGGCCCAAGTGCTTGAGCCCTGCACCCGCATGGGAGAGCAGGAGAGGCACCTGGCTCCTGGCTTCAGATCAGTGCAGTGCGCTGGCTGCAGTGGCCATTGGGGGATGAACCAACGGAAGGAAGACCTTTCTCTCTGTCTCTCTCACTGTCCACTCTGTGTGTAAAAAAAAAAAAAAAAAAAAAAAAAAAAAAAAAAAAAAAAGTACTCAATAGCATCAATAAATAGTGTTGAGTCAACTAGCTAACTATTAAAAAAATTAAATCCCACCCTCAGTACTTTATACTTCAATATCTTATACCCCAATAAAGGCTAGGTTAAATAAAGTTTTAAACCATTGATTAAGACAGTACAAATGCCGGCGCCGTGGCTCAGTAGGCTAATCCTCCGCCTTGCGGCGCCGGCACACCGGGTTCTAGTCCTGGTCGGGGTGCCAGATTCTGTCCCGGTTGCCCCTCTTCCAGGCCAGCTCTCTGCTGTGGCCCGGGAGTGCAGTGGAGGATGGCCCAGGTGCTTGGGCCCTGCACCCCATGGGAGACCAGGAAAAGCACCTGGCTCCTGGCTTTGGATTGGCGCGGTGTGCCGGCCGCGGCGGCCATTGGAGGGTGAACCAACGGCAAAAGGAAGACCTTTCTCTCTGTCTCTCTCTCTCTCTCACTGTCCACTCTGCCTTTTAAAAAAAAAAAAAAAAAAAAAAAAGACAGTACAAGTCCTAAGTGAAAATATTAGTGAGAAATGTAACATTGGAGTATGGCTTTCTAAAGTTTCCCAAAGCAAATATCAAAATGAAAAAGACATACTGAATTGGATTACCTAAATATTTAACATTTGTATTTTTTTTTCAAGATTTTTTTTTATTTGAAAGGCAGAGTTACAGAGAGGCACAGGGAGAGAGAGACAGAGAGGTCTTCCATCCTCTGGTTCACTCCCCAAATGACAGCAACAGCCAGACCTGAGCCTATCCGAAACCAGGAGCCAGGAGCTTATTCTGGGTCTCCCACATGGGTGCAGGAGCCCAAACACTTGGGCCATGCTCTACTGCTTTCCCAGGCCCTAGCAGAGAGCTGGATTGAAAGTGGAGCAGCTGGGCCTTGAACCCAGCACCCATATGGGATGCCAGCACTGAAGTCAGTGGCTTTTACACAGTGCCAACCCCTATATTTCTGTTTCTATAGCTCAAAAACACCATCCACATAAAACAGCTTATAGGCAAACAAACTAGGAAAATATATGTGGTCCACATGATCAACAAAATAATACCCAAACAGTTAAGAAAAATATACATTAGAAAAATGGGAGAAAAGGGCTGGCTCTGTGGCACATCAGGTTAAACCACTTCCTGTAATGTTGGCATCCCATATGGGTGCTGATTTAAATCCTGGCTGCTCTACTTCCAATCCAGCTTCCTGCTAATTTAACTAGAAAAAGACAGCAGGAGATGGCCCAAGTGCTTGTTACCCTGTTCTCATATGGGAGACCCAGATGAAGTTCCTGGCTCCTGGCCTTGGCCTGGCCCAGCCCCAGCCACTGTAGCCATTTGCGGATGGCCAGAAGATGGAAGATCTGACTATCTCTTTCTCTCCTTCTCTTTGTAACTCTGCCTTTCAGATAAATTCAGTAAATCATTTAAAAAAAAGGGAAAAATGGAAGAAGATATAGAAACTTTTTCTAATATTTATTTATTTATTTGAAAGAATTACACAGAGAGAGGAGAGGCAGAGAGAGGTCTTCTATCTGCTGGTTCACTCCCTAATTGGCCTCAATGGCCAGAGCTGCACCGATCTGAAGCCAGGAGCCAGGAGCTTCTTCCAGGTCTCCCACACAGGTGCAGGGGCCCAATGAGTTGGGCCGTCTTCTGCTGCTTTCCTAGGCCATAGCAGAGAGCTGGATCGGAAGTTGAGCAGCCAGGTCTCGAACCGGCACCCACGTGGGATGCTGGCACTTCAGGCCAGGGCGTTAACCCACTGCCACAGTGCCGGCCCCAGAAACTTTTCAAAATAAGAAATACATATAATTAGCTTAGGAAAAGATTTTTCTATTATTAATAATTTTAAAAAAGTAAAACAAGGAACAGTTTTTTACCTAAGAAATCAGTGAAGGTTTCTAGTATCATCAAGTCTACTGTTGCTTGGAGTGCTTTCAAATTGTACTAGCTATAGTATAAACTAGTAGTTCCTTTCTGGAGAGCAATTGAATAGTTATGTCAAAATCTTACAATGCTGTGTATCATTGATCTAGCAATTAAACTTCTAGGAATTCATGCTAAAAACTATTTTATGCATAATATATAGCTAATATTTTTCTAATATTTTTAAAGATTTATTTATTTGTTTGAAAGACAGAGCTACAAAGAGGTCGAGGCAGAGAGAGAGAAAAATCTTTCCTCCCCTGTTCACTCCCTAAATGGCCACAATGGCCAGAGCTGGGCTCATCTGAAGCCAGGAGCCACGAGCTTCTTCTCTGTCTCACATGTGGGTGTAGGGACCCAAGGACTTGGGCCATCTTCCATTGCTTGCCCAGCCGCATTAGCAGGGAGCTGGATCAGAAGTGGAGCAGCTGGGATTTGAACCATTGCCCATATGGGATGCCAGCACTAAGGCTGCAGCTTTACCAACTACACCACAGCACTGGTCTCCTAATATTTTCTTAATATAGCTAATATTAATATTTTTATAATAGCAAAAATAATTTAAATGTCTAAAATAGGGGGCTAGCTAAATGAAGTATATGATAAAAATATAGGGGATTCTAATTCAGTCCTATCAAGATGGCACATACCAATGCCATCTCACTAGTCCTAGTGATCAATTTCAGTTCACAATTGATCATAATGATAGGTCTAAGAGTCAAAGAGGTCACAAACAAGACTAGTGTCTGCTAATACTAACTGATAGAATCAAAAAGGGAGAGAACGATCCAACATGGGAAGCAGGATACACAGCAGACTCGTAGAATGGCAGATGTCCAAAACCGCACTCTGGCCTCAGAATCAGCCCTTAAGGCATTCAGATCTGGCTGACGAGCCCATGAGAGTGTTTCAGGCATGGAAAGCCAAGACACTCTGGCAAAGAAAAAAAAAAAAAAGAAAAAGAAAAAAAAAGCCTAAATGAAAGATCTCCGCAAGTGAGATCCCAGTGGAAACAACGGGCCATCAAAGAAAGAGATACCTTTCTCTGAAGGGAGGAGAGAACTTCCACTTTGATTATGACCTTGCCTAAATAAGATTGAAGTTGGTGAACTCAAAAGGCTTCCATAGCCTTGGCAACTCATGACTAGAGCCTAGGGAGATTACTGACACCATAAACAAGGGTGTCAAATAGTTAAGTCAACAACAGGAGTCACTGTGCACTTACTCCTCATGTAGGATCTCTGTCCTTAATGTGTTGTACAATGTGAGCTAATGCTATAACTAGTACTGAAACAGTATTTTACACTTTATGTTCTGTGTGGGTGCAAACTGATGAAATCTTTACTTAATATATACTAAATTGATCTTCTGCATATAAAGATAATTGAAAATGAATCTTGATGTGAATGGAATGGGAGAGGGAGCGGGAGATGGGAGGGTTGTGGGTGGGAGGGAAGTTATGGGGGGGGAAAGCCATTGTAATCCATAAACTGTACTTTGGAAATTTATATTTACTAAATACAATTTAAAAAAAAGAATGAATATTTCATCATTTAGGAAGAAATTTAAAATAATTGAGATGTTTGAAAATCAGTATTAACACATGATTGTCGCTCCCCCTCTTCGTGGAGGAGCGACACAGGACCCTGCGCTGTTCTTTCTGTCTGCTCGGCCCTCCCCGGGTTTGCTGCTGGTTCTTCCCGGGTTGGCTACTATCCCTTCCACCTCCGTGGAAGGGCAGTTCCCCCTGGCCACATTCCCCACCTCCGCAGGGGAGCGTCACACTGCCGGCCGGTTCTCTCGGGGGCTGCACAGGTGTTCCTTCAGCTAGATGTTCCCCTTAGATGTTCCCCATAGATGTTCCTGGTGCATGCCGTCTCTCTCCTCCTTTATAGTCCTCCTCCGCCAATCCTAACTCGGCTGCCCACACGCCGAGTACGCTGCTCTCCTCCAATCAGGAGCAAGTCCTACAGTTTATTAGTTGAACTGGAGGCAGCTGTGCGGAAGCTGTTTACTTCTCTCCCAGCGCCATATTGTGGGAGAGCAGATGCATAGAATAAGTCTTAATTCCAGTAACTCAGTCTAGTCCGGGTTGCTCCCCACAGATCCCCCTTTCTTTTTATTTTTGGCGTTGATACGCGCCTGTCTTCGGTGTCCCGCGGCACACACTCTGCTCTACTTGCTAGAGTTGCCACAGGCTCTTACAAGTCCTATCAGGCAAACCGAATCCGGGTCCTCTCTTCGCCATGTTATGAGGAGGTTTTTAGGTGCTGATGCGTGCCTGTGTTCGGTGCCCCGCAGCGCATGCTCTGCTCTGCCTGCAGGGGCTTACAAGCTCTATCAGGCAAACCGAATCCAAGCCTTCTCATTGCCGTATTGTGGGGGAGACTTATTAGTGTTGGTTCGTGCCTATCTTCGGTGACCTGCAGCTCATACTCTGGTCAAGCTGCTTGCTGGTGCTTACCGCCTTAATTAGGCAGACCGAATCCAAGCTTTCTCATTGTTGTATTGTGGGGAAGCCTTACTGATGTTAATTCGTGCCTGTCTTCGGTGACCTGCGGTGCATAAGCTGCTAGCTGCCCGCAGGTGCTCATCGCCTCACTTAATCGGGCAGACCGAATCCAAGCCTTCTAATTGCCATGTTGAGGGGAGGCCTTTCTATTTCTCTATTTCTCTATCTCCGGGCATTCCTATTTCTCCCATTCCACTTCTATCTTCCAGCATTCCTATTTCTCTCACTTTACTTCTAAAACTTTTGTTTCTCTTATCCCCGCGGCTTTCCGGCACCTCGCCCTGCCGGCAGCTTCACGGCTCTGCGCGGCTTCCCGGCGCCTCGCCCCGCCCCGAGGCGGCTTCTCGGCGCCTCGCCGGCTCTGAGCCGCTTCAGCCCGCGCCCCTCATCTGCGCGGCTTCTGGGCTCTGCGCGGCTCGGCTTTGCGCGCACACTCCGCGGTCTCCACGCTAGCCCCGCGTTCCCTATCTACTTGTGCCCCGCACGCTCTCTCTGCGCGCGGCAGCCTCCACGGGAGTCACACAGCGTAGCTTACGTGTCCGCCACTAGCATTCAATCTAAGTTCCCCGGGCTAGCCTGGCGAATTCAACCCAGCATACGTCTCCGCCCCACGGTTTGGCTTCCCGTCCTTTGCTCCCCGGGCTAATCAGACAGATCCCAATCTGGCTTACGTTTCAGCTTCTGGTTTCAACTTTTCGCCCCCTATTCCCGGGCTAACTTGAGAACCCCAAAGTGGCTTTCGTATCCGCCTCGGCCTGCCCCCCGCGGCTTCAATTTCCCTAACACTTTTCTCTACCCGGTATGTTTCCCTAAGTTTTCTTCCAACAATATTCCTCCCTCATTTCTCCTGGCCTCTCCCCACAGTCCGTATCCGAGTCTGTTCTAGCTTTCACTTTCGCTTTCAACCTTAGAGATTTCTCCCAGCTTCCCCCCGTAGTCCGTATCCGAATCTATGCCTAGGCTTTCAATAGCTTCTTCCGGCACCCTTTTCGTCCGGCTTTTCCCTAGGCTGTTTGCTAGTCTCTCTCTCCGATATTTTCCCTAGGCTGTTTGCTAGTCTCTCTCTCCAATATTTTCCCAGTTCTTCCCGTTTCTTCCCTCCTAAGTTTCATATCCGTCCTAGGTTTCCTATCCGAGTCATTTCTTCCCTCCTAAGTTTCCTATCCATCCTAGGTTTCCTATCCGAGCTAGGTTTCCTATCCGAGTCACGGCACCATTATGTCGCTCCCCCTCTTCGTGGAGGAGCGACACAGGACCCTGCGCTGTTCTTTCTGTCTGCTCGGCCCTCCCCGGGTTTGCTGCTGGTTCTTCCCGGGTTGGCTACTATCCCTTCCACCTCCGTGGAAGGGCAGTTCCCCCTGGCCACATTCCCCACTTCCGCAGGGGAGCGTCACACTGCCGGCCGGTTCTCTCGGGGGCTGCACAGGTGTTCCTTCAGCTAGATGTTCCCCTTAGATGTTCCCCATAGATGTTCCTGGTGCATGCCGTCTCTCTCCTCCTTTATAGTCCTCCTCCGCCAATCCTAACTCGGCTGCCCACACGCCGAGTACGCTGCTCTCCTCCAATCAGGAGCAAGTCCTACAGTTTATTAGTTGAACTGGAGGCAGCTGTGCGGAAGCTGTTTACTTCTCTCCCAGCGCCATATTGTGGGAGAGCAGATGCATAGAATAAGTCTTAATTCCAGTAACTCAGTCTAGTCCGGGTTGCTCCCCACAATGATCCTATATATGCATATAGATAGATAATTTAAAAGGTTATGTACCAAAAGTTGGCTAGCTATCTCCTGAAGGTAGAATTGTAGGCAATTTTATTTCTTAACTGTGCTTTTTAATTTTTCTTAATTACCCACATATTTTGGGTTATATAGGTATTATTTTTATATTACGTTACTCAACGTGTTACAGAGTCTGAACAATTAATCTTAAAAACTTACTTTGAAAACTTTGATCTTTTTCCAAGTATAATTTGAGTGAATGGAATGGGATGCAGATTTATCTTTGAGGACCCAAATCTATCTTGCCCATTTATTCCCATCTCAAGAAGATGTTTTACCCAGTGCCTTATCTTATAAGTTGTTGCTGCTTCTTTATTTTCTCTTTTACCCCTCGTTGACTGGCAGTGATATCCTAGGAAAGGTGCTAGTAGGATCTGGGACTGCTTAACCCTTCTATTGACTTACTTTCTCTCAGTTTCCTTCTTCAGGCACTGTTTCAGATTTTCTCCCTCCTCTTGATAACCTTCAATCTTCATATAGTACTAAATGGTCCTACTCCCAGTTACCTGGAGATAATGGATAAGGTTTTAGACACTGAGATTAAAAGATTTGTATTGATTTCTAAACAGATTTATTTCATAAAGTGTTAATCGTGTGGAAGGAATTGGGTATATTTTAAAAACTTGCATTGAAGGCTCACTGTATACCAAATATCATTTTAAGCACTTTGGAGAAAATTACCTTCTTTATTCTTCACAACTTAAATAGAAAATCAGAGCTCACAAAGGGCTTGTAGTTTATTCAAGATCGCACTGGCAGTAAGAGATGGAACCAGGATGCAAATTTAGGGCTGTCTGGTCCTTAAGGCACTCCTCAGCTTTTAGACTGTGCTATAATTCTTCCCTGTATTCTGGCTGATTATTCTTTTTGCTGAGTAATTCACCATCTGGTAGCTATCATTCTGTAGTGTTCATTGGTGCTAATTTTCTGATGATGGCCAAGTGACTATATTTGGATTTTAAAGTGGAGAAAGCTATGATTAAAGTGTAATACATGTGAGGTTAAAGTCAACTTTCCCTACTTTGCTGTGTGTGACTTTGGATAAACTGCTTAACCTCTATGAGCCTTAATTTCCTGATTTGTAAAAAGAAGATGGTATAAAGTCATGAGACTTCTGAGAGGATCAAGTAAATAATGCTGAAATGTTTTGTAAATGTAAAAACACTGTAAATCGGGAGCATTGAAAGTAAAACAGTATAAGGACTGATACAGAGTAAATAGCAACTCTCAAAACTAAGTTCAGGAAAAGGGAGGCATGCCACTCATTTAGAATAGAGACCAGAGATCTGTTTGGTAAATTCTGCTTTAAAATTCCAGAAAGTTCTGTGTTTGCTGAAGAGTTCATATTCTGGAGGTTGCTGCAGGTTGGTGTTGATGCTAACCAGTAGTAATTTGCTACAGGGAAGTATGGGCAGAAGAGTGATTTTGTTTTTCAAGACAAAGTCAGATATAGGGAAACCCAGGAGAAAATAGATAGTAAAACCAATTTCTTACCAGTTGCCCAGATTGTATCCAGAGCATTCTGTTGCTCACTACAAGACCTTCATTTTAAAAGGTTTACAGGCATAATGGACCATATTCAGAGAAAAGCAACCGATGGTTCAAAGATTCTAAATCATGTCACTTTGAAGAGATGATGGAAGAAAATTGAAAATGCTTAGCCCAAAGAGAAAGATTATGGAACCATCATGGTCTGCTTCAATAGTTTGCAAATCTAGTCATCCGTTAGAACCACAGATTCCAAACTTAGCCCCACTAAGTTCTGATTTGGCAAGATTGTAGTGAAGCCCAGAATCAATCTTCATGTCCCAGCCCATCTCCCCAGCTATGTGTGTGTGTGTGTGTGTGTGTGTGTGTGTGTGTGTATGTGTTTAAGCTCTCTCAGAATTCTTATACTTCATTGCCATGAGTCTATATGAGGCTTAAATAAGATCAGCCTTAGGGTGATGTCAATAACCATCTAACAAACACTACAATTAGTAGACAGCGCTGAAAAGCTTTATCAACTATCTGTGAAATTGGTGAAAAAGCTATTACTAAAGATTAATGTTTAAATGTTGGCCTAGAAAGATAGATCATGGATTCTTTTGGAAGCCTAGATGGATCTGAGGTTTTAAAATTTAAGATACCTAAAATGTCAGGTGTATCAGTGTTCTAGGATATACTAGTATGTAGCATTTGCAAAAAATTTTGACACAGAATCTTTTATTAATTAAAGAACATATTATGAGGCCAGTGTTGCTTATAACATGCACTGGGAAGTGCTAAAGTAGGCTGAGATGACACTCAATTTAGTACAATGCTAACTAGTAGTAATTTGCTAAGGATAAGTGTTGGAAGAAGAGTGATTCTAGCCAAGTGAGATATGTAGATACCATGGCAGGGCCGAGCAAGGCTATGACATGATGCAGAGACTCAGGAGAATAAGAACCAGTCATTTGGCTTGGCACTGTATTCCAACTTGATGGAAGTATAAGTAGTAGTGAAAATACTGTTGCAAAGATGTTAGGATATTATCTCATGTTTGCAAACCACAAGCTGAACTTGAGATGATGTGGTAAAATATTTAAAATTGGAATCATATCAGAAAATACAGTCCATTGTAGTTAAGTCATTACAGTTAAGGCAAGAACAGTGAAGGAAGAAAAACAGGCTTAAGGAAAAAAAAAGCTTTTTTAAAATTTTTTTGATAAGTTGAAGAAGATTATAAGGCAAGATGTATTTAAGGTGCTAGAAAATTAGGAGAAAGATTTAAATAACAGATAGAATAAACTGGAAAAGGAAGTTGTTTTTTTTTTCTCCTTCTGGGAGATAATAGAAAAAAAACTAACAATTTTTCTTCTATGAGATTAGTTTTCAATATTCCAGTTTTTGGATTACCTAGTTTCTTTGCTTGTATCCTGTCCAGGATGCTTGCCACAGAGTAGGAGTTGAGTACATAGCAGCAGTGTTGCTGTTGTTAATGCTATTTGACCATTTTACTGCTTTGTACTGCCACCAGTGAGTAGACAAAGAGGAGAGTCAATTAACATCAAACTAGATAACTCTAATTGATTTATCAATCCCATATTTCATGATCATGAATTAGCTGACTGTAGTCCATGGCTCCTTCTGCTATTTATATTTTATCTTTATTATCTTGCACTGTACTTGGACAGACCCACACTTGTTAATTCATGTCTTGGTTTGTTTTTCAATGGTTATTCTAGTTGTAATTTTTCTGCTGTAAGGAATGTTGGCTTTCTGCTGCTGGAGATTTGCACATTTTACTTCTGTGTACTCACTTAAGTATATAGTGTTAATGGCAGTCGCATGACTCATAGTCTGCATAAGCATAAATTAACTAGGGTACTTGTGTGGTGTGCCCTCTTTGAGATTGCTCTGAAGACCACCCAGAAGGCAGAATTTACAGAGACTGCAAAGACTCATTGAATTTAAGAAACCTAGCAGCACTGACTGACCAATTACACCTGCATCCTTGAGTATGAACCAAGGCTACCCATTTGCTCTAGATTGAGGTTCAGACTGTTGATCTTGAACTATAAAGGGCTTTATGGGCTGAATTATGGCTACTTTAAACAAGACTTCTTCTTTCAAATAGAGTGCTTTGCACATAGTGAGCACTCCATAAATGCTCTTGACTGACTATGACTTAATAAATGTTTTAGGTCTTCCAGTGAACTTCTTTTCCTGGTTTCCAGATTTGACAGGAGACTTCTTGGTATTGAATCTTTGTCTTTAATATTAGTATTGCTTGGAGGTTTAAAGCACTGTAATTTTACTGACTACATGAAGTTCATCTTTTTGGTGATGAATCTTTTTAGGTGGTTTGTTGGCACAGTATGAGTAATTTATAGAATCTAAGGTTTTATAATTTGATTCATGTGTTCAGCATAGCTGTAAAATGAAACAGTAGTTTTAAGAAGTTTACCAAGAAAGTAGTATATGTATTATTTTTTGCCCTGGCACTGGTCTTTTTCTGGCATATTTTATTTGTTTGATGTTTAGTTCAGTGTTTTCCACAAAAATAACTTTATAACAATGATGCATAAAAACTTCAGTGTGGAAGTTTGTTTGATGGAGGGAAAATATTTTACTTCCTTATTATGCAAAAAGTTATTTTTGGAAATTAATAATAACAAATTGGAGTAATTAGAAAGTTACTTTGTTATTTTCAGTATGAGAGGTTTTTCTCTGCTTTCAAGAGATACCATCTGGGTTGGTGTTGCTCAGGATTATCTGGAGAACGTAAAAGTATAGATTTTCAAATTTTGTGTTCTGTGCTTTTTTTTTTTAAGATTTATTTATTTTATTTGAAAGGCAGAGTTACAGAGAGAGAGAGAGAGAGAGAGAGAGAGAGAGAGAGGTCTAACATCCGCTGGTTCACTACCCAGATGGCCACAATTGCAGGAGCTGCGCCGATCTGAAGCCAGGAGCCACAAGCTTCTTCCGGGTCTTTCACACGGGTGCAGGGATCCAAAGATTTGGGCCATCTTCTACCGCTTTCCTAGGCTACAGCAGAGAGCTGGATTGGAAGTGGAGCAGCTGGGTCTCCAACTGGTGCCCACATAGGATGCTGGCATTGCAGGTGGCGGATTTACCCGCTACACCACAGCACTGGCCCCTTCTGTGCTTTTCAAACATTTGATGTAATTTGGATAATCACACATTTCTAGAATCATTAGTTTGGATCTAGAAAACCAGTGATTTAGTACTATTTTTTTGTCACAAAATTAGGTAAAAACCACCTCTTTCTGAGAAAATTATATGCTTTATTATAAAGTAGGCTTTAAGTATCTCTAAGATTAAAAAAAAAGAGAGAGAAAAATACACTGATCTGAGGTTCTTTGTGGAACCTTGCAGCTTTCAGTTTCTTACTGGTCTGTTTTATATTTCTTGCTGCAGTTTTACAATCAGCTATTTTTCCAAGGAGTCCTTTGTTTTTATTTTTTGTTTGTTTTTAAGAGAATAGTATTAGAAACCAAGAACTATATGCTGGATAGGCTCTCTGCTTTGACTTTTGTCCCACTGTCATTCATTCTTCACACTGCATGATGAAAGTTTAAATAAATTCAACTAGAGGCGGAGCCAAGATGGCGGAATAGTGAGGGCGCGCACCGATAGTCCGGGAAAATTTAGTTTAATAAAAGGGGAGTTACGGTAGCCTCAGAAAAAAGAACCAGGAAAATATTGCAGAGGAAACTCTTCTGGATTGAGTGGCCGCGAATTGGAGGACCTACTGGGAGAACAAGGTCGCCCACCGCGCGGAAGCCGAGCCGCGGGACCGAGCCACGGAAGCCGAGCCGCGGGACCGAGCTGCGCGCCAGTGCTCGATGGGGAGTGCGTGCCACACAGACAACAGCGGGGAGACTTGGGACATCCAGGGCTCCGAGTCCACACATCAGTGCTGGAAGGGGAGCGGACCTGCGTGGAGAGCGTGGGAGCCCACAGTTTGGGACACCAGTGGCAGACTCAACACACCAGCGCTGGAACGCGAGGTGAGCCGAACCTCAATAGCCCGAGACACCGGCAGGCAAGCGGAGAGAGGAGACTAGAGGGAACGACCCCCGGGGGGGGGGGGGAAACTCCACCAGGCTACCTGGAAGGGAGAGAGAGGAAAAAAAAAAAAAAAGGTGACTGGTACGGACATGGGTTTCTCTCTCTCCGCTCACCTCTCAAGGGCGAGCAAGACAAAGAGCAGGCACCATCTTGGACATACGTCATAAGCAGAGCGACCTCAGGTCTGCACCGGCCCTGAGCCTAGCAGAAAAACCTGACTCTGGGCGGGGCAAATTAACAGGAGATTAGGACCTAGTAAATTTGTGGTGCTACTGAACTGAGACTGTGAAAAAAGAGACGGTGGGGGAGAGAACTCACGGAATTCACGTGAGCACTCTCCAGAGACGCTACAATTCCATAACTTTGGCAACCCAGTGGGAGACTGAAGGAGAATTTGAGCCCACTCTGAGGGCCGAACAGATTCCCTGTGTGGTCCTTGGGAAAGAGCTTCTGATCTCTGGCTCCTGTGGGTATATCATTTGCCTGCTAACTACCTCCAACTTCGTTCAGCTGTGCAGAATAACTTCCCTTTTGAATCAAAAAAAAAAAAAAAAGAAAGAGAGAGAGAGGTTTACCACGCCTAACCTGGGAGTGTCACCTTTGGCACACCAAACAGAGCTCTCAGGCCACACCCATCTCAAGCCCTAAGGCTCCATCAAAAACAGATAGTCCACTTAATCTAGAGTCATAGTATAACAAGAAAAAGCACCACAGTGAAGAAACCAAATATCTCCAATATGCCAAATAACAAATGCAAAAACCAAGGTAATAAAAACAAGGAAGTCACCATGAAGCCCTCAAATGAAAAAGACACCCCAATTCAAGATTATGAGGATGATGACATAGAAGAAATGCAAGAAGCAGATCTCAAAAAATTGATAAGAACATTAAGAAGTTCTCAAAAACAAATTCTTGAACTACAGAAATCCTTAATGGACAAGATAGAAAATCTCTCTCGTGAAAATGAAATATTAAGGAGGAATCAAAATGAAACGAAACAACTAGTACAACAGGAAACTGGGATAGTGACTGAAGTGAAGAATTCAATAGATCAAATGAAAAACACAATAGAGAGCCTTACAAACAGAATGGGTGAAGCAGAAGAGAGAATATCGGACTTAGAAGACAGAGAACAGGAAAGGATACAGTCAGACCAAAGAAAAGAAGAGGAAATTAGGAATCTAAAACATATTGTTGGGAATCTTCAGGATACTATTAAAAAACCCAACATTCGGGTTCTAGGAGTTCCTGAAGGCATGGAGAGGGAGAAAGGATTAGAAGGCCTTTTTAGTGAGATATTAGCAGAAAATTTCCCAGGTTTGGAGAAGGACAGAGAAATCCTAGTACAGGAAGCCCACAGAACCCCTAATAAACACGACCAAAAGAGATCCTCACCACGACACGTGGTAATTAAACTCTCCACAGTGAAACATAAAGAAAAGATCCTAAAATGTGCAAGAGAGAAACGTCAGATTACTCTCAGAGGATCTCCAATCAGACTCACAGCTGACTTATCAGAAACTCTACAAGCTAGGAGGGAATGGCGAGATATAGCCCAGGTACTAAGAGAGAAAAACTGCCAGCCCAGAATATTATATCCTGCAAAGCTATCATTTGTGAATGAAGGTGAAATAAAGACTTTTCATAGCAAACAGAAATTGAAAGAATTTGTTGCCACTCGTCCAGCCCTGCAAAAGATGCTTAAAGATGTGTTACACACAGAAACAAAGAAACACGGTCATCAATATGAAAGAAGGTAAAGGAAGGAAACCAAGGAAGGAAAGCTCACAGCAAAAGATCACAGGGAATTCAAAGCATATATTAGAACTTATCTTTGGCAAATGGCAGGGCAAAGTTACCACTTATCATTAGTCACATTGAACGTGAATGGCCTGAACTGTCCAGTTAAAAGACACCGATTGGCTGATTGGGTTAAGGAACAAAACCCATCTATTTGCTGCTTACAAGAAACACATCTTTCCAACAAAGATCCATACAGACTGAAAGTGAAAGGCTGGAAAAAGATATACCATGCCAACAGAAATGAAAAAAGAGCGGGTGTAGCCATCTTAATTTCAGACAACATAAACTTTACCACAAAAACCGTTAAGAGAGACAAAGAGGGACACTACATAATGATTAAGGGATCAATTCAACAGGAAGATATAACAATTATCAATGTATATGCACCTAACTACAGGGCACCGGTTTATCTAAAAGATTTGTTAACGGACTTAAAGGGAGACTTAGACCCCAATACAATAGTACTGGGGGACTTCAATACTCCACTCTCAGAAATAGACAGATCAACTGGACAGAAGATCAACAAGGATACAGTAGATTTAAACGACACTATAGCCCAAATGGATCTAACAGATATATACAGAACTTTCAATCCTACAGCTAAAGATTTTACATTCTTCTCAGCAGTACATGGAACCTTCTTTAGGATTGACCACATACTAGGCCATAAAGCAAGTCTCAGCAAATTCAAAAGAATTAGAATCATACCATGCAGCTTCTCAGACCATAAAGGAATGAAGTTGGAAATTAGCAACTCAGGAATCCCTAGAGCATACGCAAACACATGGAGATTGAACAACATGCTCCTGAATGAACAATGGGTCATAGAAGAAATCAAAAGAGAAATCAAAAACTTTCTGGAAGTAAATGAGGATAACAGCACAACATACCAAAACTTATGGGACGCAGCAAAAGCAGTGTCAAGAGGAAAGTTTATATCAATAGGTGCCTACATCAAGAAATTGGAAAGGCACCAAATAGATGAGCTTTCAATTCACCTCAAGGATCTAGAAAACCTACAGCAAACCAGACCCAAATCTAGTAGGAGAAGAGAAATAATTAAAATCAGAGAAGAAATCAACAGGATTGAATCAAGAAAAACATTCCAAAAAATCAGCCAAACGAAGAGCTGGTTTTTTGAAAAAATAAACAAAATTGACACCCCATTGGCCCAACTAACCAAAAAAAGAAGAGAAAAGACCCAAATCAATAAAATCAGAGATGAAAAAGGAAACGTAACAACAGACACCACAGAAATAAAAAGAATCATCAGAAATTACTACAAGGACTTGTATGCCAGCAAACAGGGAAACCTATCAGAAATGGATAGATTCCTGGACACATGCAACCTACCTAAATTGAACCAGGAAGACATCGAAAACCTAAACAGACCCATAACTGAGACAGAAATTGAAACAGTAATAAAGGCCCTCCCAACAAAGAAAAGCCCAGGACCAGATGGATTCACTGCTGAATTCTACCAGACATTTAAAGAAGAACTAACTCCAATTCTTCTCAAACTATTCAGAACAATCGAAGAAGAGGGAATCCTCCCAAATTCTTTCTATGAAGCCATCATCACCTTAATTCCTAAGCCGGAAAAAGATGCAGCACTGAAAGAGAATTACAGACCAATATCCCTGATGAACATAGATGCAAAAATCCTCAATAAAATTCTCGCCAATAGAATGCAGCAACACATCAGAAAGATCATCCACCCAGACCAAGTGGGATTTATCCCTGGTATGCAGGGATGGTTTAATGTGCGCAAGACAATCAATGTGATACACCACATTAACAGACTGCAGAAGAAAAACCATATGATTATATCAATAGATGCCGAGAAAGCATTAGATAAAATACAGCACCCGTTCATGATGAAAACTCTAAGCAAACTGGGTTTGGAAGGAACATTCCTCAATACAATCAAAGCAATCTATGAAAAACCCACAGCCAACATCCTATTGAATGGGGAAAAGTTGGAAGCATTTCCACTGAGATCTGGTACCACACAGGGATGTCCACTCTCACCACTGCTATTCAATATAGTTCAGGAGGTTCTAGCCAGAGCTATTAGGCAAGAAAAAGAAATTAAAGGGATACAAATTGGGAAGGAAGAACTCAAACTATCCCTCTTTGCAGATGACATGATTCTTTATTTAGGGGACCCCAAGAACTCTACTAAGAGACTAATGGAACTCATAGAAGATTTTGGCAAAGTAGCAGGGTATAAAATCAATGCACAAAAATCAACAGCCTTTGTATACACAGACAATGCCATGGCTGAGGAAGAACTTCTAAGATCAATCCCATTCACAATAGCTACAAAAACAATCAAATACCTTGGAATAAACTTAACCAAGGACGTTAAAGATCTCTACGATGAGAATTACAAAACCTTAAAGAAAGAAATAGAAGAGGATACCAAGAAATGGAAAAATCTTCCATGCTCATGGATTGGAAGAATCAATATCATCAAAATGTCCATTCTCCCAAAAGCAATTTATAAATTCAATGCAATAGCAATCAAGATACCGAAGACCTTCTTCTCAGATCTGGAAAAAATGGTGCTGAAATTTATATGGAGGCACAAGAGACCTCGAATAGCTAAAGCAATCTTGTACAACAAAAACAAAGCCGGAGGCATCACAATACCAGATTTCAGGACATACTACAGGGCAGTTGTAATCAAAACAGCATGGTACTGGTACAGAAACAGATGGATAGACCAATGGAACAGAATTGAAACACCAGAAATCAACCCAAACATCTACAGCCAACTTATATTTGATCAAGGATCTAAAACCAATTCCTGGAGCAAGGACAGTCTATTCAATAAATGGTGCTGGGAAAATTGGATTTCCACGTGCAGAATCATGAAGCAAGACCCCTACCTTACGCCTTACACAAAAATCCACTCAACATGGATTAAAGACCTAAATCTACGACCTGACACCATCAAGTTATTAGAGAACATTGGAGAAACCCTTCAAGATATTGGCACAGGCAAAGAGTTTCTGGAAAAGACCCAGGAGGCACAGGCAGTCAAAGCCAAAATTAACTATTGGGATTGCATCAAATTGAGAAGTTTCTGTACTGCAAAAGAAACAGTCAGGAGAGTGAAGAGACAACCGACAGAATGGGAAAAAATATTTGCAAACTATGCAACAGATAAAGGGTTAATAACCAGAATCTACAAAGAGATCAAGAAACTCCACAAAAACAAAACCAACAACCCAATTAAGAGATGGGCCAAGAACCTCAATAGACATTGTTCAAAAGAGGAAATCCAAATGGCCAACAGGCACATGAAAAAATGTTCAAGGTCATTAGCAATCAGGGAAATGCAAATCAAAACCACAATGAGGTTTCACCTCACCCCAGTTAGAATGGCTCACATTCAGAAATCTACCAACAACAGATGCTGGCGAGGATGTGGGGGAAAAGGGACACTAACCCACTGTTGGTGGGAATGCAAACTGGTCAAGCCACTATGGAAGTCAGTCTGGAGATTCCTCAGAAACCTGAAGATAACCCTACCGTTCGACCCAGCCATCCCACTCCTTGGAATTTACCCAAAGGAATTTAAATTGGCAAACAAAAAAGCGGTCTGCAGCCTAATGTTTATTGCAGCTCAATTCACAATAGCTAAGACCTGGAACCGACCTAAATGCCCATCAACGGTAGACTGGATAAAGAAATTATGGGATATGTACTCTTTAGAATACTATACCGCAGTAAGAAACAACGAAATCCAGTCATTTGCAACAAAATGGAGGAATCTGGAACACATCATGCTGAGTGAAATAAGCCAGTCCCAAAGGGACAAATACCATATGTTCTCCCTGATCGGTGACAACTGACTGAACACCAAAAAGGAAACCTGTTGAAGTGAAATGGACACTATGGGAAACGGTGACTTGATCAGCATAGCCCTGACTGTTAATGAACAACTTAATACATTATCCCTCTTAGTAGTTTTTTTTTTGTCTGTTCTACTTAATATGACTGGTTTAATTCTGTAATTAATACACAGTTATTCTTAAGTGTTAAAAATTAACTGAAATGTGATCCCTGTTAAACATAAGAGTGGGGATAAGAGAGGGAAGAGATATATAATTTGGGACATGCTCAAGCTGACTTGCCCCAAATGGTAGAGTTAGAAACATACCAGGGGATTCCAATTCAATCCCATCAAGGTGGCATGTACCAATGCCATCTCACTAGTCCAAGTGATCAATTTCAGTTCACAATTGATCATAATGAAAGGACTAAGAGTCAAAGGGAGCACATAAACAAGTCTAGTACCTGCTAACACTAACCGATAGAATAAATAAAGGGGAGAGTGATCCAACATGGGAAGCGAGATACTCAGCAGACTCATAGAATGGCGGATGTCCTAAAAAGCACTCTGGCCTCAGAATCAGCCCTAAAGGCATTCGGATCTGGCTGAAAAGCCCATGAGAGTATTTCAGGCATGGAAAGCCAAGACACTCTGGCAAAAGATCTCTGTGAGTGAGATCTCAGTGGAAAGAACAGGTCTTCAAAGAAGGAGGTACCTTTCTCTGAAGGGAGGAGAGAACCTCCACTTTGACTATGACCTTGTCTAAACAAGTTAAGAATCGGAGAACTCAGAGGGCTTCCATAGCCTTGGAAACTCATGACTGGAGCATAGGGAGACTACTGATGCCATAGACAGGAGTGTCAATTGGTAAAGTCAACAACAGGAGTCACTGTGCACTTACTCCTCATGTAGGATCTCTGTCCTTAATGTGCTGTGTATTGAGATTTAATGCTATAACGAGTACTCAAACAATATATTTCACTTTGTGTTTCTATGGGGGTGCAAACTGTTGAAATCTTTACTTAATGTATACTAAACTGATCCTCTGTAAAAAAAAAAAAAAAAAGAAAAAAAGAAATGATCAACTCCCAACTTGACTCTCACTGGGATTAAACATGACAATAGGTCTGATCTGATTTCATCATCATTTAAAAAAATCATCTATTATTTTTCACTTTATGTTTCTGTGTGAGAGCAAACTGTTGAAATCCTTACTTAATGTATACTAAGCTGATCTTCTGTATATTAAGATAATCGAAAATGAATCCTCATGTGAATGGAAGGGGAGAGGGAATGGGAAAGGGGAGGGTAGTGGGTGGGAGGGACGGTATGTGGGGGAAGCCATTGTAATGCATAAATCGTACTTTGGAAATTTATATTCATTAAATAAAAGTTAAAAAACAAACAAACAAACAAACAAAAAAATAAATTCAACTAGAATTTGATCTTTTTTTCTACTTTTATTTAATAAATATAAATTTCCAAAATACAAATTTTAGATTATAGTGGCTTTTCCCCCCGTAACCTCCCTCCCACTCACAACCATCCCATCTCCCGCTCCCTCTCCCATCCCATTCTTCATCAAGATTCATTTTCAATTATCTTTATATGCAGAAGATCAACTTAGTATATACTAAGTAAAGGTTTCAACAGTTCGTATCCACACAGATACACAAAGTATAAAATACTGTTTGAGTAGTACTTTTACCATTAATTCGCACGTACAACATGTTAAGGAAAGAGATCCTACATGGGGAGTAGGTGCACAGTGACTCCGGTTGTTGATTTAACAATTGACACTCTTGTTTATGACATCAGTAATCACCCGAGGCTCTTGTCATGAGCTGCTAAGGTTGTGGAAGCCTCTTGAGTTCACAAACTCTGATGTTATTTAGACAAGGCCATAGTCAAAGTGGAAGTTCTATCCTCCCTTCAGAGAAAGATACTTCCTTCTTTGATGGCCCGTTCTTTCTGCTGGGATCTCACTCACAGAAATCTTTCATTTAGGTTTTTTTTTTCTTTTTTTTTTCTTTGCCAGAGTGTCTTGGCTTTCCAAGCCTGAGAAACTCTCATGGCCTTTTTTAGCCACATCTGACTGCCTTTTGGGCTGATTCTGAGGCCAAAGTGGTGTTTAGGACATCTACCATAATATGAATCTGATGTGTATCCCACTTCCCATGTTGGGTGGTTTTCTCCTTTTTAATTCTATCAGTTATTAATTATTAGCAGTCACTGACTTGTTTATGTGATCCATCTGACACTAAATCCTATCATGATGATCAATTATGAATTGAAACTGATAACTTTGACTAGTGAGATGGCATTGGTACATGCCACCTTGATGGGATTGAATTGGAATCCCCTGGCATGTTTCTAACTCTACTGTTTTGGGGCAAGTCCAATTGTGTATGTCCAAACAGTACATCTCCTCCCTCTCTTATTCCCACTCTTATATCTAACAGGGATTACTTTTCAGTTAAATTTAAACACCTAGCAATAATTGTGTGTTAATTAAAGAGTTCTACCAATGGTATTAAGTAGAATAAAAAAATTTCTAAAAGGGATAAAGTACTAAGTTTTTCATTGACTTGAGGACAAGGGTTGATCAAGTCACTGTTTCTCATAGTGTCCATTTCACTTCAACAGGTTTCCTTTTTGGTGCTCGGTTAGTTGTCACTGATCAGGGAGAACATAAGATATTTGTCCATTTGGGACTGACTTATTTCACTCAGCATGATGTTGTCCAGATTCCTCCATTTTATGGCAAATGACCGGATTTCATTTTATTTTTACTGCTGGGTGTGGGGACGTGTAGGGGCACAGGGTCACCCTCGGGGTGACGAATTCGTTGATTGGCATTTAGTTTGATTCAATGACGGGGGCCCAGCGCCAGATGCCTGGAATGAACACTGATGTCTTGTCCTAGTCTGTTTCATTTAATTTTTTTTGGCCACGTGCATTTAGAGCTGGAGGGAGACAGAGACAGAGAGAAAGGGTATTCCTTTTTCTGTTGGTTCACCCCCCAAATGGCCGCTGCAGCCGGCGCACTGCGCCGATCCGAAGCCAGGAGCCAGGTGCTTTTCCTGGTCTCCCATGGGGTGCAGGGCCCAAGGACTTGGGACATCCTCCACGGCACTCCCAGGCCACAACGGAGAGCTGGACTGGAAGAGAAGCAACCGGGACAGAATCCGGTGCCCCAACTGGGTCTAGAATCCTGGGTGCTGGCGCCGAATGTGGAGGATTAGCCAAGTGAGCCGCGGTGCCAGCCTGTCTATTTAATTTATTTTGGGTAAATTCCAAGGAGTGGGATGGCTGGGTTGAATGGTAGGGTTATATTCAGGTTTCTGAGGAATCTCCAGACTGACTTGCATAGTGGCTTGACCAGTTTGCATTCCCACCAACAGTGGGTTAGTGTCCCTTTTTCCCCACATCCTCACCAGCATCTTTTGTTGGTAGATTTCTGTATGTGAGCCATTCTAACCGGAGTGAGGTGAAACCTCATTGTGGTTTTGATTTGCATTTCCCTGATTGCTAGTGATGCTGAACATTTTTTCATGTGCCTCTTGGCCATTTGGATTTCTTCCTTTGAACAATGTCTATTGAGGTTCTTGGCCCATCTCTTAAGTGGGTTGTTTTGTTTTGTTTTGTTTTGTTTTGTTTTTGTGTAGTTTCTTGATCTCTTTGTAGATTCTGGTTATTAACCCTTTATCTGTTGCATAGTTTGCAAATATTTTTCCCATTCTGTCGGTTTCTCTTCACTCTCCTGACTGTTTCTTTTGCAGTACAGAAACTTCTAAATTTGATGTAATCCCAGTTGTTAATTTTGGCTTTGACTGCCTGTGCCTCCGGTGTCTTTTCCAAGAAGTCTTTGCCTATGCTGTATCTTAAAGGGTTTCTCCAGTGTTCTCTAATAATTTGATGGTGTTGGGTCATAGATTTAGATCTTGAATCCATGTTGAGTGGATTTTTGTGTAAGGTGTAAGGTAGGGGTCTTGCTTCATGCTTCTGCACATGGAAATCCAATTTTCCCAGCACCATTTATTGAATAGACTGTCCTTACTCCAGGAATTGGTTTTGGATCCTTGATCAAATATAAGTTGGCTGTAGATGTTTGGATTGATTTCTGGTGTTTCCATTTTGTTCCATTGGTCTACCCATCTGTTTCTGTACCAGTATCATGCTGTTTTGATTACAACTTCCATCTAGTATGTCCTGAAATCTGGCTTTGTTTTTGTTGTACAAGATTGCTTTAGTTATTCGAGATCTCCAATGCCTCCATATGAATTTCAGCATCATTTTTTCCAGATCTGAGAAGAATGTCTTTGGTATTTTGATTGGTATCACATTGAATCTATAAATTGCTTTTGGGAGAATATACATTTTGATGATGTTGATTCTTCCAATCCATGAGCATGGAAGATTTTTCCATTTTTTGGTATCCTCTTCTATTTCTTTCTTTAAGATTTTGTAATTCTCATCATAGAGACCTTTAACGTCCTTAGTTAAGTTTATTCCAAGATATTTGATTGTTTTTGTAGCTATTGTGAATGGGATTGATCTTAGCAGTTCTTTCTCAGCCGTGGCATTGCCTGTTGATTTTTGTGCATTGATTTTATATCCTGCTACTTTGCCAAACTCTTCTATGAGTTCCAATAGTCTCTTAGTAGAGGTCTTTGGATCCCCTAAATAAAGAATCATATCGTCTGCAAAGAGGGATAGTTTTTCCTTCCCAATTTGTATCCCTTCTTTTTCTTGCCTAATGGCTGTGGCTAAAACTTCCACTACTATAATGAATAGCAATGATGAGATTGGACATCCCGTCTGGTAAACAGATCTCAGTGGAAATGCTTCCAACTTTTCCCCATTCAATATGATGCTGGCTGTTGGCTTTTCATAAATGGCTTTGATTGTATAAGGGATGTTCCTTCTATACCTAATTTGCTTAGAGTTTTCATCATGAAAGGGTGTTGTATTTTATCCAATGCTTTCTCTGCATCTATTGAGATAATCATATGGTTTTTCTTCTGCAGTTTGTTAATGTGGTGTATCACATTGATTGATTTGCAAACATTGAACCATCCCTGCATACCAGGGATAAATCCCACTTGATCTGGGTAGATGATCTTTCTGACGTGTTGTTGCATTCTATTGGCCGGAATTTTATTGAGGATTTTTGAGTTTATGTTCATCAGGGAAATTGGTCTGTAATTCTCTTTCTCTGATGCATCTTTCTCAGGTTTAGGAATTAAGGTGATGCTGGCTTCATAGAAAGAATTTGGGATGATTCCCTCTCTCAATTGTTCTGAATAGTTTGAGAAGAATTGGAGTTAGTTCTTCTTTAAATGTCTGGTAGAATTCAGCAGTGAATCCATCTGGTCCTGGGCTTTTCTTTGTTGGGAGGGCCTTTATTATTGTTTCAATTTCTGTCTCAGTTATGGATCTGTTTAGGTTTTCTCTGTCTTCATGGTTCAATTTAGGTAGATTGTATGTGTCCAGGATTCTATCCATTTCTGATAACAATATTTTGAGATTTCTAATTTCCTCTTCTTTGCTTTGCTTTGACTGTATGCTTTCCTGTGCTCTCTCTTCTAAGTCTGATATTCTGTCTTCTGCCTCAGTGATTCTGTTTTTAAGGCTCTCTAATGTGTTTTTTATTTGTTCTATTGAATTCTCCATTTCATTTTGATTTCTCTTCAATATCTCAGTTTCATGTTCTAATAGATTCTTCATTTCATTTTGATTCCTCTTTAAGATTCCATTTTCACAAGAGAGATTTTCTGTTATGTCCTCCGTGGATTTCAGTAGTTCATGCATTTGTTTTTGATTACTTTTAAATATTCTTATCAGAATTTTTTTGTGTTCCATTTCTTGCATTTCTTCTATCTCATTGTGTTCATAATCTTGTATTGGAGTGTCATGTTCTTTTGGGAGTGTCCTGTTGTCTTCCTTGTTCTTGTTTCCTCGGTTTATGTGTTTATAGTTTGGCATTGTGGAGATATTATTTGGTTTCTTCTTCTTCTTCTTCTTTTTTTTTTTTCTTTGCGGTGGCTTTTCTCGTTATACTATGACTCTAGATAAGTGGATTATCTGCTTTTGGGGAATCTCTAGAGGCTTGTGGTGGGTGTGCCAGAGAGCTCTGTTCAGTTCTTCAGGGTTAAGGATGTGCCTAAGGTGACACACCCAGGTTTGGCATGTTAAATCTCCTCTCTCTCTCTCTCTCTCCCTCTCCCTCTCCCTCTTTTTAATAAAAAGGGAAGTAATTCTGCTCAGCTGAACTCTTCTGCTTGATGGCGATCAGTGCCTGAGCGCTAGCCCTAGTGGGTATAATATTCATCTTCTCAGTCCTAAGGACCACACAAAGGATCTGTGCAGTCCTCAGTGTAAGCTCAGACTCCCCTGCAAATGTCTTTCACCGAGTAGCCAAGGCCACCCAAGCTTGTGATGTCTCACACTAGGACTACTCATGTCACAGCCAGACCATGAGTTCTCCCACACACCCTCTGTTTTTTTTTTTTTTTTCACAGTCCCAGTTCATAAACTCCACACATTCATTAGATCTTAGTCTCCTGTTATTTCTCCCCACCAGAGTCAGGTTTTTCTGCTTGGTTGATGGCGGGTGCATCCCTGAGCTTGCACAGCTATTACGTATGTCCAAAATGGCACGTGCTCTATTGGCCTCACACCTTTTAAGGTGAGTGGAGAGAGAAAATTGTGTGTCCATATTGTCCCTTTTATTTTTTCTCTGCTCTAGTTAGGCTGGTGTACTTTCCTCCACGGGGCTTCAAGCCTCGTTCCCTCTAGGCTGTTCCTGCTGCTTTTCCACTACTGTCTTGGGCTACTGTGGTTTCATCTCACCTGAAGAGACTCTCTGCAGCTGGTGTTCCGAGCTGTGGCCACCCATGCCTTCCATGTAGATCCACCATGTCCTTCTAATTCCAGAAGAGTTTGCTCTGCTGTTTTTTTCCTGTAACTCTTCCCGGAGACTACACTATCTCCACTTTTATTAAGCTATCTTTTCCTGGAATATCAGTGAGCTCCCTCTCTATTCTGCCATCTTGCAACCTCCCCTCTCTAGAATTTGTTCTTTAAAATCTCTGATAAGTAGTCTTTATCTTTAAAAGTCATGACTGCTTACAATGGCCTTTAAAATTGTAAATTAATCCTTGCTCACTGCTTTGACTTCATTTTTACCATTTTCTCTTTCATTCATTGCTTCATGGACACACTGGCCTTTCTCCACAGATAGTACCCCCACCCCAGCCCAATTTTCTATTTTCTCCTCCACCTCATTCTTATATGTGTAACTTAAACTTTTATGCTTGCTCTTTCCTTTGGAATCTCTACCAAAGAACCAAAGATTCCATTCTGCACCACACTGCATGTAGGCTCTTTATTTTTTTTAGGTGTCAGATGGAATGTTATTTCCTCTGCAAGAATATTTCTGACTGCTTTATTTAAAATAACTTGCCCTCCACTATCACGGGAATTCTCTATACCCTTACCCCTCCAGATTATCTAAAATAATCTAATTTGTGACCAGCATTTGGCATAGCAGTTAAGATGCTGCTTTGGATGCCCATAACCTGTACCACAGTTCCTGAGTTTGAGTGCCAGCTCAAATCCTGATTCTAGCTTCCTGATACTGTGTGCCCTAGGTGGCAACAGGTGATGGCCTGAGTGCTTTGGTCCCTGCCACTCACGTAAGGGACCTGGATTGAGTTCCCTGCTCCTGGCCCTGGGGAGTGAGTTATGGGTGGGGAGATCTCTTCTCTGTCTCTTTGTCTGCCCCTCAAAT